CGAGCAAGACTACGGACACGTACCAAAACCACAACTTTCGCCCGTAAGCGCTAATGAAGAATATCGACGTCGACTGAAATGACTAGCTATCCATTTAGCCCTGAATGGAAGATTGCGACCAAAATAGAACGCGGGTTGCAAGATAAAACCCCCTAGCCAAGCCAGCTGTCGTGTGCTGTATACCTTGACCGGTATTAGTGTAGATTTAGTTGATTTATTTAATGAAGATAGCAATCATGATTCTAATTGTTGAATCTCAATACATCAATCGCCCGGGTGGTCTAGTGGTATGATTCGCGCTTAGGGTTCACCCAAAGCATTATTGCGCGAGGTCCCCGGTTCAATCCCGGGCTCGGGCCCATCTTTTTTTCCATTTTGTATCTTAGTTTTTATCTAATTAAAAGAAATCAACTACGAATTGATCGGTTAATGCCCGATGAGCATTGTTTTCTTGTGTATTTTCAACTATGTAAACTAAAATTCAAAAGTATGAAAAAGAGTTCTGGCAATAGATTGATGCCGACTGTATTCTACGAAGGGGCATAGCGGCCAGTGATAAATAGACTGTATTTTGTCAATTTTCGTCCAAATTTGGAATTATTGCCTAGATTATAGACCGCCTTTTACACCGCCTAATACCACGTACTATACACCAACCTCTCTACCTATTGTATTTTCACTACTCCGTACTTTTATCGCTATGCCTGCTTATATTGATATTGATCCTTACTTACAAAGGCGAGATCCTCGATCTCCTTATCCAAGGCATTACGTATAAAGATATTAGGATAATAGGTAAGGCGTGGATGGAGTGAGAGGAAGAGAATAGAGAGGAATCAAAAGTCAACCACTTAAAGGGGTGATGTATGGATTTGTACGGCAGGAAAAGCTTCGTTTTTGGAGTGATATTTTAGCCTGAGGTAGGGGGAATTGAGATACCTAGCTTACTAATAAAACTGTAATAGTAATTCAGGTATTTTAATTTTCTGCCAGTCCAAAATCAGGCACCAATGACAATACAGTCTATTTATCACTGGCCGCTATGCCCCTTCGTAGGGTTCGATTATATATGCCAACTTTGAAGCTAACCACATCAATCGCCCGGGTGGTCTAGTGGTATGATTCGCGCTTAGGGTTCACCCAAAGCATTATTGCGCGAGGTCCCCGGTTCAATCCCGGGCTCGGGCCCAATCTTTTTTTATACAATTTATACCTTAGTTTTTATCCAATTAAAAAAAGTTGGTATAGATAGATCCCTGTCTGATTTTTTTAGCGGCTTGCTATTACCGCCTACCGCTTGATGCCAGCCCCTATGTAGGCTACAAGACACCTGTACTTTGTAAATCCCTAAAATTAAGTCATTCTGTCACATTACGGAACATTCTGCAAATATCTAAACAAATTGATAATCTAATTATCGTACATCCTTTTGACTCTTTTCTTCATTGTAAAGGTAATGCCTGGGCGCACACCCTTCGGCTCGGCCAAAAGACCAACCATCATGTCGGAGCGAGAGTCTGACATGCCCAGGACCAATATATAGTAGCGCACATAGTTATCCTTGACATTCATCAATTTCTCTATAAATTCTATTAACAAACCTCTCAATATGGCCTACTTTTTATTAGACGACTTAAGATCCGATCCCGACTTAATTGCTACTTATGCTATAGGGAGAGGTCGAGGTTGAGGTCGAGGATAGAGTGCCGTGGATGCTAAGGATACCGGTGATTTTAGTGGTGCTAGGGGTGTTAAAGTAGTTCAATAGAGAAGCAATAATTATGTAGGATCAGAAAGCATTAAATCAGTTAAGATGAGCATTCTTTTCTAATAAGAAAGGTGTATTTTTAGGGTATTGATAAATTCCACCCCCCCTTTGGCTATTCTCCCCCCCCTCCTGCCTGATTTCAGGCCAAAAATCACCCGACTTCCTGCAGTATTATTTTCTGCCAGCTAAATCTGTATGTTGTGTACAACAATTAGAATTTTGGATTATTTAGTAAAAAAGGCATGTTTATTACTAGAAGAAGGTACTTATTTTTGCAAGATTCAAGGTTGGTCAGAAGAGATTAATAATAATCAAACTTAATTTTTATGAAGCTTTACTTTTATATAGAACACAAAGAGGTACTTATTTTTGTTAGTGGTTTATATAACTAGTTAGTAAGTGGAGGTACCATTAGTGTTAGTTACTATAATTGACTAACTAGAGAAAGCGGTCTATAGGTGTCTGAAAGTCAAGGCAGGGGGTGAGAATAACTAGTTAACTAACTAACTAACTAGTTAACTAGAATAATTAAAATAGTTACCTGAATTACCATAACACTTCCCTTAATAATCAAAGTAGCCTGATTTTGCTGGCGTTTATAACTCTTAAAAATGAAGCTTTGTGTCAAAATTGAAGCTTTTAATCTCTATATTCTAGGTGGTTTACAAGTCCAAAAACATGGAGATACTACCATTTGTATAGAGATGAAAAGCTTCAATTTTGACACTTGCAAGCCGTCCAAGAAAGTCGAGATCTCTCAATTTGTATGGAGATCAAAAGCTTCATTTTGGGATGAATCATTTACCGTACATTGTATAGGGCGGTGTAGAAAGCGGTCAATGACTAATTAATTCCAAAAGTGGACATCTATCTTCATTCTCCTATATAGGCAAACTCTGAGCTTTAAGATATCAACTGCCCGGGTGGTCTAGTGGTATGATTCGCGCTTAGGGTTCACCCAAAGCATTATTGCGCGAGGTCCCCGGTTCAATCCCGGGCTCGGGCCCATTCTTTTTTTAGTTCTCCATAGCATTTTGCGCTTTTTTTTTAATCTATTTATTTGACATATGTGTGTGCGGAGTAGGATGATTCCAACGCTAACCTGATTAGGCATTATTGCATACCAAGCATCTTAGGTCCTACAGAATCGAGATTAGCGCCATCCATGCAATTAGACAACATCACCATCATTTCCTATGCATCAAGATGTATCGAGGATGGAATTGCAATTCAGGCTATATTCAACTCCTTCAGTCGACAGAATCCAAGAACGTAGTTTTCTCTCTAGTTCTTCCCGATCCCATTGGGATATTTCTAGTATCTACAGGGGTAGAAGCCCATGAAAATAGGCTTCTCTCTAGGTATAAAAAGTCTATACTTTCAACTGATTTCTGGTAAAACTTCTATAGTATCACTTTACAAGCATGAGCTTTTATCCTTATTCCATTTCCTAGCTAAATTGTAGAGTGCGATAACTGACATCAAGTTACAATTCGATCTGGAATCTGATATGTTACACTCCTCCAATTTTAAGCCCGGTATATGCTACTAGTAGAGGAGTTGGTGAGTTATTCATAACCACAATGAGTTTCTAGTACTACATAGCCCTATGTGGTTGTCAGCCGTCTTGCGTGCCTAGTATGTACACTGAATAAAAAACTAAGGTATAGATAAAATGGAAAAAAAAAAGGATTGGGCCCGAGCCCGGGATTGAACCGGGGACCTCGCGCAATAATGCTTTGGGTGAACCCTAAGCGCGAATCATACCACTAGACCACCCGGGCAGTTGATATCTTAAAGTTCAGAGTTTGCCACTACTACCCTAAAAAGGGGTTTAGGTCCATGTCTACCACCCATTGTTACAAATCTTTGCAAGGTGCCCGATACCGCCCCACCCACCATCTCTATCGAACCCAACGACGGCTAACTTGCCCATATAAGAAAGTATAGCATGTGTATGAGTTTATTTAGCAATCGAGTGCTTTTCTCCGTGATACCGCTTGTCACTTCGACTTCTAGAGGATCTATTACTAGACTTTATACCGGTGTATTATCTAAGAGATCGCTTTATGTACTAGATTTCAAGGTATCAGCTATAAAAGATAGGATACCCGGGCAGACTTGTCGTGAATAACCCTTAGCTATACGAGGAAGTTGCTCTACTCCACGCATTATTCCTTACCGTAAAGTGCGAATGCTCTATATAACTATAGGTGTTCCTAAATTCAACCGAGCTTTTTATACGGTTCCTCAAATATTTGTAAAGATTGTAATAGAGACTAACTTGATACCTAAGCATAAATGAGATCAGCATACTCCTAGACTGGTTAATATTTTTAAATATCTCTCGCTAATTCTCTCTTTATATCTATAAAAAAACGCCGGCTGTGCAACTTCTAGTGGAATAGTATCTAGCTTTGTGTAGGTAGCTACAGGTAGTCCTTACAAACAGGGGTGACCACATCCTAATCCTAAAACAAGCAGAAGGGGGATATGTAATCATGTATCTCTTATCAAATTAGATACCAATTCCAAGGTTGGTGCTTACACCAGCCTCTGCATCCCTTCTTGTTTGAGTTGCAAGTGGCATTGCTTACGGCATGCGATAGTGCGATCTCGATATTGAATGTATTCACCTTGCAACTCATATTTGATATCATTATATGATACTATTCCGTACCTAATTAAGACACATACGACCATAGGGTGTGGAAAACAGGGCTTCCCGTCCGCTCAGCCGTACTTAAGCCACACGCCGGTGAGTTAGTAGTTGGGTGGGTGACCACCAGCGAATCCTCACTGTTGTATGTTTTTTGTTTTTGTTTTTTTTTGTCACTCTCATCTGTATCTCGCGATTAGAAAGAGTCTCGCGATTAGAAAGAGTGCCCGGAACTGAGAAATCGCGATATTCACGGAAAATTTCATGAGTCTCACGTGGAGGAAAATTAAGAGGAAGCTTTGCTGATGATCATGGTGTACAATATTTCTTGGAATACCATCTACATATAGATGATGGTGGCAACAAGGAGAGGAAATCCAAGAGAAAGCAGATCGGAAATGAGACCTCCCATTCGATGAATCCCCGATATTTAACGAATTATTTCCAAATCCGACAGTCCGTAGCCCTTTCAGGCCGGTCGAATTGACGTTGAGGATATCCGAATGATACGCGTCCGAAAAACCCTTGAAGCGAATTTGAATGGGACCCTGGATAGTAATGCTAGAAATCCTGTCACCCCCTCTAAAGTTAGAGGCGTTTGATCGCACGTATGGAGACGCGGTGAAATCCCCATCCATAACCAGATTTGCCGTGTGGGCATTAAAATCGACCGTCACATTTGGTAGAACGAACTCGTCCCAGTCTTTGTTGTCCCATCCCACTGTTTGGGGAACCCGCATACTCCAATTGCCGTGCTCGCGGGAGGTGTTGCACGCAGGCATATCGATATTGAAAGGCCGGGATGAGCTTTCATCATCAACGAGCTCGTTGTTATGCATTATCCCCGAAACAGTAAAAGAGGAGTCGCGATGCTTCGCCGTAGTAATGTTGAAATTATCGAGCACTATTTTGTTCTCTCGGGGCTTCCAAGTGGGTCTGGTTGAATCAGGATTGTAATTGCGAGAACAGGAGATAGATTAGCTGGTGGGTGACTCACTGTGAAGATATTACGGGGAACATGATGACATCCCTGTTTCCAAACATTTGCTCTCCATATGGCACTTCGGACAGGTTATGATTCGGCGGAAGCATGATCAACCATAAATTGACTGCGTTGAGGCCCGGGTTGTATGTGGCTCGTCCTGTAATTGCCAAGAGGGAATTCCATTTCTGGATTGTGGTGCGGTTCTTCTGGTTCGGACATACTGAATTATTTGATGAATAGCCGATTGTTGGGTTCAGTTAGACCTCTATGGTCCCGTTCTAGTAATTATACATAGTGAACCATTTAGCTCGTGTATTTTCATGGGTGAAACGTACGATCCAACCCAAGTATAAAGCTGATTCAGCCCTGTCACATTGTTAGGTCGGAAGTTTGACGATGGATTATAGTCCGAATCATCTTCTGCCAGCACAGTTGATGCCAAAATCAACAGATAAATCCGCGAGGCCCATCCCCAGATATAACGCATGTTGGGCAAATTAAAACGACGATGAAATATTCTAAAGAGGAAAGAAAGGACGGGGAATATTGGCGTGGCGCTGAATTTAGGGGGCGGAAATCAATATTTAGTTCCCCATGGCAAGGTAGAGCTTCAATGGTCCCAAGAGTTGCCTTGTACGAATTAGGCTTAATTATACAAGGAAAACTGCTACCTGGGGGAAGTGTTTGCTCCGACCATATGTCGCCTTAGATTTTCCAAGCCTTTTGGCAAGGCGTTCCGGTCTTGGCAGCCGGCCTCATCCAAAATGATGGCAAAAACAAAAAAGATCTGGACTTGCAGGGAATCGAACCCTGGACCACTCCCATGCTAAGGGAGTATTATACCACTAAACCACAAGCCCAGTTGATTGATAGTTCGAGGCTGATAGTGCATAAAGAGCAAACTGAAGCAATAGTGGTCATAAAGATCAATATCAACTCTTCTCATCTCATCTCTCTTACTCATAACAAGATCTCGCTTGTTTCCAAGTTGATTCGGCCGCTAATCCTTTTATTATTCAGAATTTAGTGCAACTGGCATGGTTTAAATATGGGTTGGGGATGTTTATATCCTTATTATGTATCAGACTGTGTGGTGATATATATTGTCATATGTTTTTGGAAAAATGTTAAGAAACCTCATGTCCTATCCATGTCTCAGTCCCTGAATAATAGGTGTCCCACGAGAACCAATCAAACATGTTCCCTGGAATGGATTTCTTCTCACCAAGACGAGAAGAAGACACCCCCGGTCGATTGCCATCAAATATAGACAATGGGGAGCCCATATCTGCAGGTAACCATTCGAGATAGTTGGTGACGTTTAATTCTCCAAAATCAAGATCCATTAAATCTTCAGAATGCTGGATATGATTGTCCATGGGCTGTACAGACGGTGGTTGAAATGACTTGTCAGGGGTTTCAATAGTCTCGGCCAAGGCACAACGCGAAACATGAACCTGAGCTAGTTGGAGAAAAACAGACGCAGTATGCTGCAACCTGGAGCATACAGTGGCCAGCAAGCGCATCTGTGATCTCATTTCCGCGAAATAGTCTACCGTCGCAGATAAAAGGTTCAGATCTTGCTCGATCGTAGATGCTTGGGCGCCATTGTTGTGGATGATGTTTCCGAATATCACGAAGAAAGGGGTAAACGGACAATATAGAAGTTGCCTTATCGAGTTATATCAGTGACAAGATTTCAAAAAGGGGGAGTTAAAATGTGTGTATACCATACTACCCCGTTGTATACAGAGCTCCAATTTGACACCATTAAGCTTAGGGTAGAGATAGCTTCGCGGGCAGATGAAAGGCGTAGAACCGACGAAGAATCATCCCCCTTGAGCAGAAGAATGAGGGAATGCAAATACTGAAACTTCATAGTGCTGATTCCCAAAGTCATTTCTCGGATTTGGCTGGCACTTGCCGAGGCACTTTCGACATGCAAGATGGTTGTGAGAGACTGTTCTCCAATATTAAAAAAACCGGGCTTTCTCATATCAACAGATGTGTAGCATACCTGATCGGTTTCCAAGTACCAATTCTCGAGGCTTGATCGAATCTCTTGCCTTCGATGTACCGAGCCATCCATCGCGAGAAGATCCGCAACCGACCCTCCGAGTTTTGCCCAATAAATTGAACGTGTGATAATTGCAGCACCGAAACGCGAGCCACAGGCAGATCCCTGCCCATCCCCAAATCCAGCACGCTCGTGGGGTACGAACTTGAGCAAGAAGGACTGTTCTGGCAACGGAACATCTCTATACAATGCCGTGGGAAGGAAAGCCGGTCTTCCAAACGAGAGGGAGCATGATTTATCTATTAAGAAAAGCATCCAAAACAGACAAAGCCGTTGCTGTCTTGAGTCCACATCCTGGTGAGCCGGTGAATGTAAATCTAGAGCTTCGGCCTGTCTGCACGCATGTCCTAACAGCATCCAAGATAGATTCGGCGCAGCGTAATCCTCGCCATGCATTGCTAGGAAACATAAAGCTTGCACATTGGCGTAGCGTGGTTCGAGAAAGATACTGCTATCATTCAGCGCGAGTTGCACGTTACGCCGAAAATTCTTCGTTTCGCCGTTTTCTCCGTTCTCATTCGAGACGATGGAAAGCATCATGTAATTGAAGTAGGCGATCCATCCCCTTTCGTGGACTTTGTGGGGTTCAAATACCACTTGTATTATGACGTCGTCCGGCGGAAAGGAGAAGAAAGGTTCGCCAAGCTCACCATACTCCAAGAATCCTAATTTGGAGTTCAGAGGTCAGTGCTTATCCGCGTCCTCGAAGAAACGAGAACTTACTGCTGATCAGGCGGTAGCCGGTTGCCTTCGAAGGTATATAGAATGTGGTCGAATCCCCTGAAATCTGTTGCTCAACGTCCGTGGTGGTCAATCGACCGGAGAGATATTGAAGTTCCGAGTGTGCACTCTGGGTAGTAGCATTGCCCGGTGATTGGTGGACTGCATCAATGTTGGCGGATGCCTCCTTTAGGAAGGAGAAAGAAAGCGAGGGGCCGCCGTAGAGCCTTGATTCAGGACCACCATTTTCTGTAACGACGGCACAATAGGGCCCACTGGGTGTTCCAGTATTTGTCCGAGGTAGTGAAGGAGCGATAGTCTGCAGGACTCGATTGACAGAGTCTGTCAACTGCTGGACTGTGTGCTCAAGTTGCTTCAATCTACGTTGGATGTCATTTTCCACTACCAAGTCTTTCGGTCTGGGGCCGTCAGTTTTAGCTTTGTATACAGCTTTCTTTGTTGATACTATCAAATCTCACATGTGATTGGGAGTTGGATTTGGCTGGGCGGAGGTCGATTTGTCTCGTGAGTATTCACAGCCACTGGGCCACGGCTTGCAGTTACTGCATTTTGGGAGGTCCCGCGAGCACCTTCAAAATTTAGCAATGCTGCTCAAAAGAAATTTGATTCCTGGGTGTGTAATACTTGAGTTTCTTCTGTCGGCAAAAGGTACACTGTGCAAGTCAGTTGCGATCAAGCTGTTGGTGATATGGCGGTGCATACTGCAAATCGAGCAAACTTAACTTCCATAATGGAACATCACAGAATGACTCCGATTATTATTTCAATCTGACTTTACAATTGTCAAGATAGAAAGAGAGGGATCCGGAAGGTCGTCCGGAAGCTGAGCCGTTGATTGGCTGAGCTCGGAGCTCCCGTTATAGACCAATCAGAATGATTTGTTTCGGAATTTAGTCCGGTGCGCGACCCGATGCTGTGATATGCACTCAAGACCTCAGAAATTTGTTAGTGAAAAGACTGTCTATAATACTGAGAATGCCCGGCTTTATCCAATCATTGATTCGCCGACGGGAGATGTTTTCGAGTATCCGTCCAAGTATACGCTTGAACATGTCAAGGGCCGCGACAAAGGCGCCGTCGATTATAACACGACCTCTGTCTCGCAGTGCATCAATGCCTTTAGTGACTCGTCCGATCCAACCATTCCATCGCACCCCATATTTATGCCGCAACTATACCACGAAAAAAGCAAAGGAAACACCTCCATCAATCGCAATTATTGGCGGTGGGCCAAGTGGTCTAGTCCTTGCTCGACTATTGGAAGTCAACGGCATCACAGACTACGTCGTATTTGAGCGAGATCAGTCCTCCACACCAGGTCCGAACGAACAAGGTGGAACTCTGGACCTGCACGGAGACTCAGGTCAAGAAGCCCTCAAGCGCGCCGGCTTGTTCGACAAGTTCAGCAACGAACTCGCACGCTGGGACGCTGCGTGTTTCCATCTGCTCGACTTGACTGGGGAAACAATTGCCAACTTCAGTGATGTGGGGAACCGTCCTGAAATTGATCGCTTGCAACTTCGCCGCCTTTTGCTCGAGTCGATTCCTCAACACAAGATTCGATGGGGACATGGTGTTAAATGTGTCGAGAAAGGAGAACCTAAGAAGGAGACTGTTGATGATAATGGATACATCATTCATTTTACAGATGGTTCCTCTGCAACAGGGTTCCGACTTGTGGTAGGCGCCGATGGCGTATGGAGCAAAGTTCGTCCTCTGGTGAGTAGGGTTCAGAGAATCTACATTATTTCAATTCCTAACTTCATTTTTCAAGCTCACACCCGCAAAGCCAGAGTACTCTGGTAAGCTCTACATCGAGGGCAAAATCTCGCACAACAATCCGAGCTACGCTGTCGCCCATGAGCTGGTCGGACCTGGAAACATGCTTGTATTAGGCGACAATAAGACGATAGCGGTGCAGCAGCTATCCGATGGTCATTATCGCGTTTATTTTGGGCTTGTCGCACCTGAAGACTTTTATCAACGCAAGAGCTCCATTGACGCTGATCCTAGCAAAACTACCGAGGAAACCCGTTCCCGTCTTCTGTCCTCCAATGAGTTCTTCGCGCATTGGACGCCGCGCGTGAAGGGATTTGTCGAAAATGCCGAAGGTCCCTTCCGTCCCTGGCCCTTGTATTTCATCGACCCAGAAACAGTCGGCTGGGATCGCTCTGTGGCTCCTGGCGTTACCTTGTTGGGGGATGCTGCTCATGCTTCGACTCCATTTGTTGGGGAGGGTGTTAATTGCAGCATGTACGATGCAGTTATGCTGGCGGAATGTCTTGTCGCTCACTGCGGCAGAAACACTACGCTGACTAATGTGGAGGAGGTAAAGCTGGAGGCTGCACTGGCTGCGTACGAAGAGGATATGTTCACACGTGGTCAAGATCTGATTCGGCGCAGCGATGAGAGTGGAAGAATGCTGTTTTCGGATAATGCTGGTTCACTTACTTTCCAGATTTTTAATGGTGATGCTGAGCATGAGACTGTCAAGTCTGAGATTCACGAGAAGCAATAGCAAGATGGGAACATCAAGATAGCGCGACAGTGCGGGTTTCAACAGCGGTGGCTATTTAGTATACCAGGCTGAAAATTTTAGTTCTTTGTATCTGTGGGATTGACTCTAGAATAAAAAGGACGTAAAATATGTCAGTATGAAAGGCTAAAACGATACCAAAAAGTCTGTAGGGAGAGAAGGAAAGTCCAGCCACACACAAGCCTCAGCAAAAATAAAAAATGGAGAAGTCCTTACCAGGAAGTCACATGAGATACCTTACCCTGGAGAGGTGGGTTAGGCGTCAAGGCTGTTTTTCCTCGTGCTCAGTTACTTCAACTATCCGGACCAGAGATTGTTGACTCCAATTGAGCTGACATGTCAGAAAACACAGAACAGGGGTGATAATTGATTATTTGGCACATGTCTAGTGCCTTGGCAATTTGACCTCCAAGAAGTTGAATGGAGAACTCCACCCACTAAGCATTTGATGCGACCTCGGGATATTGAATCTACCTATCGTGCACCTTTCAAGCGATTGGGTTATTTTGCTCAAATCCGGCAATCCCCCGGGAATATCGGGGTTATCCCCTCACGAGGCGTGATAAGCTTTGACTTGGTACTTTTGACCAGCGCGTGGAGCTCAGAACATAAAGTTCCCGGGCAACCTTTCATTATTTACGCGTTTCTCCACAATTGCGTTGCAAAATGGTCATGTCGGAGCCAAAAGCAGAGTCGCCGTTTACGATCAGTGCCTTGGGGAGCAGGGGCACTGGATTATCTTGGCTCTCCAATTCTGGAATCATCAAGCTCAACTTAATGCTTGTGCTTTTACAAATATCGAGCTACGCAACAGGTTATGATGGATCGATGATGAATGGGCTGCAGTCACTCACCACCTGGAAAACCTCTTTTAACAACCCCGGACCTTCTGAGCTGGGTCTGTACGTGACAATCGAGCCTGGTGTGCTTGGACAATCTAGCCGGCTATTCCCGGCTGTTGCGCAAGGATATCAAAACTAACATAATCCTTCACAGTCTAAATGCAATCCAAAACGTGGGTCAGCTCGTCACAATGCCTATTTGCGCCATCAGTTGCGACAGATTTGGCCGTCGCCCGGTCCTATTCGCTGGCGCCTTCGTTCTTTTAGTCGGAGTTGCCTTACAGGCTGCAGCACAGAACGTCGGTATGTTCATTGCAGCCCGCGGAATCATTGGCATGGGGCTCGTCCTAAACATCACTGCCGCGCCGCTCCTCCTCCTGGAGTTGGCCTTCCCAAGACAACAGGGACCACAGGTAGCCATATACAACAGCTTGTGGAACCTGGGTGCTTTGGTTGCTGCATGGATCACCTACGGCTCGTTTCGCATCGGAAGCACCTGGGCATGGCGGCTTCCTTCGCTCCTTCAAGGCCTCTCCAGCGTGCTTCAGATTGGACTCTGCTTCTTGATCGAGGAGTCGCCCCGATGGCTTATCAGTAAAGAGCGCGATGATGAGGCAAGAAAACTCATTTGCAAGTATCATGCCAACGGCGATGATTCAGATCCTTTAGTCACACTGGAGATGGAGGAGATTCGCACTGCGCTTCAACTTGAGAACGAGGCAAGACGCACTACCTCGTACTTGACGTTCTTCCAAAGCAAAGGTAATATCAGACGGTTTTTTATTATTCTGTCTGTGGGATTCTTCTCCCAGTGGAGCGGTAATGGTCTCATCTCATACTACCTCACATTAATTCTCAACTCGATTGGATATACAGCAGAGAGCACGCAGACTCTCATCAACGCACTTCTCACACTGTGGTCAATGATTTGGAGCTTGGTATTTTCCGCTGTGATGAATCGATTTGGTCGACGCACTCTCTTCCTTATCTCTACCGCAGGTATCCTGGCGGTCTATATTGTTTGGACCGCCCTCGAGGCTACGTATGAGAAGCGATCAGCAGACGGAACAGGGGGCGGCGGCTACGCAAAGGGTGTCTTGGCCATGATCTTTCTGTACAATTTCTTTTACTCCGTCGGCTGGACGCCTCTGCAAGTTACCTACTGCATCGAGATATTACCGTTCGACTTGCGCGCCCGAGGTCTCGTTCTGTATAACCTCTTCGTCGCACTTGCTGGTATCTTTAACCAGTACGTAAATCCGATCGGTGTAACAAACAGCACATGGAAGTTCTATATTACCTACGACGTGTGGCTGGCTTTCGAGCTTGTGGTGGTCTACTTTTTGTTTGTGGAGACCGGCAGTCTTAGTCTGGAAGAAACTGCCGTTATCTTGGATGGAGAAGAGTACGGGAACAAATTGGTTGGAGTCGCGGTATCTGCAGCCGAGCAGAAAATTGTCGAGAGAGCCAAGGTGCAGGCTATGGCAAATGAAGAGATAGTGTCGGAGAAATTATAGACACGGAGAAATATGGGCTTGCAGGATCGCGGGGTAATTTTCTCACCTGTGGAAGATTTCTTTTGTTATTAAATGCAATGTATAATGGGATTGAGTGATTTTCGTATTATATTTAGCCATGATGTGTCCTAATTGATGAAGTAATATGGGTATACATAGTTCTTGGATCGGCACAAGAAGGATTATCGTGGACCGATTGGTGGACGGGGTAATCTATAGTAATATTCTCCAACTTTGATTGTGCATCTATGCCTCGGGCATATCACCGGTCATGTCACCGGCCAAGTGCTCCAATTCTGCGGAGTATTTCCGATAAACCAGAGCATCTACGGGGTAGCTTCACAACATACCCGAGGACATCTTGACCTCCGCATTCAAAACGGACTAGTATGAAGACATATTCATGAAATTCTAGTTTGGGGCATTGGAAATGCATTACTCCGCAACCTTCTCGATTCCTACTTCCATTGAGCCAACATGAGATTGAATGGCATCGCCGGATATGCAATCGCCAGCGTGATTTTGGCAACTGGTGCCTCGGCTGCCCAGATCACAAAAGGCCTGTCAAAAAGTCTGTAACAGGTGGACCTCCTCTCTGTATAACACTGTTTACTAAAACACCTGCTCCACAGATGCGCAAGATCTTTTCGACTGGTCTATGTATGTGAACGACAAGCACTGGGATGACTCGTACAAATACATATCGTATCCCGACAAGGGTCCCTGGTCAACCCGCTTCACGGCATGGTATGCTGCAGGTCTGCTGTACAGGAATAAGGGACGAGATGTGTCCAATGCCAAAGCTGCCATTGAAAATATGTGAAGAGACCTCGATGCTCAGGTCCATTGCGACTCCGACTTGTTTTGGACTGACTGTATCGACAGTCTCACGTGCCAGATGACCGAAAGCTATGAGTCGGCTTGGTATGGCACCTTCAAGCTTTCACCAGACGAGCCATATCCAACACCAGACTCAGAGCTGTACCCGCCAGAGATATACGTAAGTGTTCTTCAGTTCCGTGCGGGGAAATATCAATATACGTGATAGTCAAGCTCACATAAGTATTTCCAGGCGACCTATGACCCAAATTGGAGAGAATTTATTGGAACCCAGTTTGTGCAGATTGTCGAAGAGTTTGCTCATTTGCTAGGAAAAGGCCTGGTCTCTCGTATTGAGGACAGCTTGGAAATCGCAGCTGTTGGTTCTATGCGGCGCAATGGTACATACCCGGAGGGTGACAACCTAACGCCAGCCTATACAAACCCAGCCGTCATGCGCGCGTGGTACGTATCTTGGATTGGCGAGCGCCGCAACAACCAGGTACATGTCTATGAGTGAATGAGGCCTGTCTTGTCGATGGGACATTAACCCAGGACATTCAGGCTTTTATCGACTATGCAAACACCCAGGGTGACCTCATTTTGGATTTATTCAAGTCCACCGGCGATAACGTGGTTTCTGAATACAATGCCCCGACTTACTACGGAATGGATACCTGGGCACTTGCGGGTGCTATGAAATATGGATCACCAAAAGCCACGATGACCAAGAACGCCAAGGTCATTTTGAAAGACATGTGGGCTGATATCGCAGCTCACTACAACCCGTATCTGGCAAATATGGTGGGACCGGTAAGAACTCCCCCTTGAGCTTCGAGGGGTTATCCTCTAACAAGTTTGGAACAAATAGTACGATAGAGCCTACACACGCGATCTAGTGAGCAACTCAGCTGTCATCGACTACTTCTGGTGGGGCCTGTACGGCTACGGGGTTGGGCCACAGCCCAACAAGCTCGAGGGAGACTTATTGTTTGATGTCACACAGGGCGCAGCATTGGCCCTTATCATGGATGCGGTTGCGGATCACATCTCCAAAGAAGATGCAGTGTGGCTTCGGAGCCAGAAACATTGGGACGGAGAGCGTATGATTACCAAGAAGGTAGCTGATGCCCTCGGTGCCGATGCTGAGGTTCGAGTTGTCACATCGTGGATGAGCGCTCCACTCATGATCGGTGCACAACAAGTCAATGAGACTACCAACCGCGGTAAACAGTACGTCCCGGCCATTGTTCAATGGGCTGGTGACAAGAACCGTACGCCACACCCGTACATGACTTTCTTCAGTCTCTACCCGACGGCATCGACTATTGATGCTGTCGCGGGACTGAATAGTCTAGAGATCTCGTACCCAAACACTACTCAGGATGGCACAGATATATTCACATTTGTTCTCACGCAACTACCACCAAGCTGGACACTTACTAAGAAAAAGGTTGTTAGTGGCCTTGAAAATCTGCCTTGTCTAGAGGCTACTATCACTGCTGAGGGGTTAGAAAAGCAGCCGGTCATCTATGGCTCCTCTCTTATAGACAATCGGGTCTATAACATATCTTATGTTGTGCCTTCTGGTTTCATTGGCGTGCCTAGGGTTTCGTTCAAATTTGACTACACCTGTTGATGAGCGTGTGAATAGACATGTTCTATCTTGCTAGTTGGAATCTCAATGACCTTGATTTGGGTGGTAGTCCCCCAAGGCTGGAATAGTTTCTATAAAAAGTTATCTACATATAACACATCACTTACGTCATGCAGTAATGGACATCAGAATATTGAACTGCGTCGGCAATGATAGAGGCCATAAAATCGAATGACCTAGAAACATTCCATTCCAATCCAATCATTCCACCATCAATCGAGTATTTGTAAATCAAATCTCTCATATGAATCGGAGTTCGCTCCGAGTCTTACTCGGCATAACTCCAGTGTCGCATTTTAACCGGTGGCCGTATTTGTCCATGATGCCTGTTAGATTCCTACCAATAGGCCAACAGGATCATATCTTGGCGCATAATGCCGGCAAAATATCCTTGAAATTACCCAACTTTGCTGCGAAACTACCTTAGTGGCGTGCACTATCTTAGCCCCGCGCTCAGGCATATCTGTTCACCCATCTACAACCCCCCAGCTGCGTCTCAAGCAGTCAAAGTTGGAACTCTCTTGAGATAAACTCTACAATTATGTCTTTTCCTAAGGCGCTACCTGATTGGAACAACCTCAAAGTGATTCACAAGAACACCCTTCCACCACGGGCGCACTACTACAGCTACGCTTCAGAGGAACGGGCCCTCAGCTTCAATCGCGATAAGAGCGAGTATGTTTCCCTCAATGGTACATGGAAATTCCGACACGATGCCTCTCCATTTGAAGCACCTGAGTGGTCCACCGCTAATCCCTTGAGCTGGGACGACGTTCAAGTCCCAGGAATGTGGCAGCTCCAGGGTTATTCTCATCCGACTTACACCAACGTCAACTATCCGTTCCATGTGAATCCTCCAAATGTGCCGCTCCTCAACGAGACTGGATCTTACTGGAGGCAGTTTGTAACTCCTTCCACGTGGAAAGAACAACAGATCCGCATCCGCTTTGAAGGCGTTGATAGTGCATTCCATCTCTGGGTTAACGGAGAAGAAGTTGGGTACTCGCAAGGTTCACGCAATCCTAGCGAGTTTGACATCACTTCCCTACTCAAACCAGCCGGCTCTGTGAATACCCTCGCGGTGCGCGTGTACGAATTCTGCGATGGCTCATATATTGAGCGCCAAGATCAGTGGCTTCTCAGCGGTATCTTCCGAGATGTTGGCTTGCTCGGCTTTCCGCTGGACTCAGTGGTTGACTTCGACGCCGTTCCAACGCTTAGCGAAGATCTGTCTACAGGCCAGCTCCTCACCAGCGTCAAAATACAAGGACAAGATGCCGATGTCCAGGCCAAGTTATATCGACCAGATAGCTCGCTACTCAAGGAGTTCAAATTCTCTTCTAAAGAGTCCGGCACTATCAGTGTGTTCGGGGATGACTTAAAGCTGTGGTCTGCCGAAGATCCTGTTCTCTATACCTTGACTGTCACCTTCAACGGCCGTACAATTCCCCAGCGCATTGGATTCCGACGCATCGAGCAAGAAGGCGCAAACTTCTTGGTCAATGGCAAGCCAATCATTTTATACGGCATGAACCGTCACGAGCATCATCACCTCCACGGCCGCGCCGTGCCGTATGAAAATATGCGTGCGGACCTCATTCTGATGAAGAAACACAACATAAACGCTTTGCGATGCTGTCATCAACCCAATGATCCCAGACTATACGAAGTTTGCGATGAACTTGGTCTTTACGTGATGGCTGAGGCAGATCTCGAGACTCACGGCTTCGATCCCGTGGAGCGGTCCAATATTCTGAACCAGCACCTGATGACAGAGCATGAAATCCAAGAAAAGTCCTACAAGATGGCCACCAAGTGGACCTCCGACAATTTGGAATGGAAGGATGCTTATCTTGATCGTGCGGTTGAGCTTGTTCAGCGCTTCAAGAACTTCCCTTGTATCATAATGTGGTCCCTTGGAAACGAAGCGTTCTACGGCCAGAACCACGCGAGCATGTACAAGTGGATTAAAGAGGCTGACCCCACTCGTCTCGTTCACTATGAGGGTGACCGGGAGGCTATCAGCGCTGATTTGTACTCCACCATGTACTGGAGTATCGACGACCTGAAAAAGCACGTCAGTGAGAAGCCAGACAGACCTCTGATTCAGTGCGAATACGGACATGCCAGTAAGTTTGAATTTTGTGCTCGATGTAACTCCACTAACCTCTGTTTGGTACATAGTGGGTAACGGTCCAGGTGGATTGAAAGAATACATCGAGGCATACCGCACCGAAAAGCTCCTCCAAGGCGGTTTCATCTGGGAGTGGTGTAACCATGGCCTTCTCAAGAGAGACGGTGAGACTTCGTACTATGCATATGGCGGGGACTTTGGCGACGAGCCCAATGATGCAGACTTTATCCTTGATGGAATGGTATTCTCGGATCACACACCAACTCCAGGCCTAACGGAATATAAAAAGGCGATTGAACCAGTCACAGTGACACTGAAGGGGGGTAGCCTGGAAGTGGTAAATCACTATGACTTCAATACCCTCGATCACCTGTCCATCTCATGGCACGTTGTCAAGGAAACAGGAAACACTGAGGCAGTACCATGGGAAATCCCCCAAATCAAACCCGGAGAATCAAAGGTGATCGATCTGCCCGAGGGCGTGAATTTGGGCTCTGATCAAAGCTGGCTCACCATCAACTTCAGACTGCGAGAGCCCACATCCTGGGCAACCCAGGGACACGAGATTGCGTGGGCGCAGATCCCTTTATTGGATGACCAAAAACTCGCAATCTCTCCAAGAATATCCTCACCACAGTCCACAATGTCTGTTCAGGAGGGACCAGGCCGGCTATACATCAACTCAAACAGCTTCAGCTCCCACTTCACTTACGACCTGATTCGAGGTGATCTATCATGGTCAACTGATACAGGAAAAATCTTCAACAGCGGACCACAGCTAGGAATATACCGCGCCCTGACACAGAACGACGTCGGATTCGTGGGACCTCATATTGAATGGGAGCGCTTCCGTGTGAAAAGTAGTCACATGCTTGTCGAATCCGCCAACTGGCGTGTTAACGACGATGGGAGCGTACTCATCACCACCAAAGTCCGTGTTGGACCTACCGTGCTAGAATGGGCATTCGAGGCTGTTCTCACTTACACTATCACGGAGGCGTCAGTGTCCTTGCATGTGAAGGGTGACTTCACAGGAACACACCCAAAATACATCCCAAGAATTGGTCTCACTCTCCGGCTTCCCCGACAATATGATGCTGCTACATGGTTTGGCAGAGGACCCGGTGAATCTTACCGTGACACGAAGGCAGCTGCACGGTTCGGAACGTACACGGCCTCTCTTGAGAGCGGTCTCCAGACGCCATATGAATGGCCGCAGGAGAATGGTAATCGCATCGATACACGCTGGGTGAGCGTTCACTCCTCGCCTGCAGATTCGTCGTATGCTGCCTCTGCTGGGGCAGTTGCACCTACTCCAGAGATCAAGGCGTCCATGGATGCACCGTTTAGTTTCTCGCTTCGCAAATATGCGACGATGGAGCTTGACCGCGCGAAGCACCCCTATGAGCTCTCGGAGCTGAATAATGAGACAGAGCTAAATATTGACTACGCGCATCATGGAATTGGAACAGCCAGTTGTGGACCTGGTGCTTTTGAGGGCAATAGGCTCGAAGCTGGGGCGTTCGAGTTTACTACTAGCTTTAGTCTTGTTGGTTGCAAAAAGAAGCGAGAAGCCACCAGCTGAGCTGCTATACGGGCCTAGAGGGGAGTCATCTGTCAATACTGGATATCACTCGTTTAGGTGAATTTCCCTCAATTGAGCCATCTGGAAATTCTGAATGTAAAGCACAAATGATGTGCATAAAAGGACAAGAAATGAAGACGGCGATAAATGGGTTGGCGTGATGGACACAATAACATACTGTACTACTTTTGTTCTAGATGATATAATGGACAGGATACGATATGCAACTCATGCGCTACGGAGATGTTTGCTAATACTCCTGGCACGAATATGAATGCCATTCCTAATGGGTTTGAAAGAAAGGCAGGCAGCTACGCCGGGGCGATGGACAAGATGATTCTATTCGCCCATCTCCTCATCCAATCCGGTCTTCTTGTTTAGCCTCCTCATCGTTCTCAAACAATGCCTGGAACCAGGTTATCGCAGCGTTCTTCTGAAGCTGGCTTAGACGCTCACTAGGGGTTGGGGCGATGATAATGCCGTGGCGGCGAATCTGGGCATGCATGCTATTCGCCAAAGCAAAAGCCACCTGTAGTTAGCCGGTTCACAATCGATAAATGTGGTATTTGTTGGGGACTATAATGTATGGCTCGAAAGTCAGGAGGGAGAGAGTTGTATTGGAAAGGGGAGATGGAACTCCCGAACTATCTAACTATCTAGTTGACTAGTTAACTAACGTATTCGGTAAGCGAGTAGCCACTGTAAGCGAGTGGCCACCCTCCCCTAGACTTCCGCAAAGCCACAAATGGGCCCGAACCTCGGGCCTATAACCTAACCTGCAGTGGGCTATAGGCCCGGCCTTCGAAACCCAACCTAACCCACTAGGCTTTTATAGGGGCCTTATAGGCCCCTATAAAAGCCTATCGTACTAGCCTCTATAATCGCTGTATTACGACCTCCTACTAGTCGTATAAAGTTTAAATTTAGAATCTAGGTTTATATTAGCTATATAAGTATATGTTTTAATTTTAAATAAAATCCGATTGGTAGAAGTTAAGATATTATAGAAAATGTGAAAGTTGATATTTTAATGTTAGATATATATTTACGATTTATACGGGAGTACCACCCCTTTCTAGAGAACCTCTATAATTTTAAAATATTATAAATAAATGAAATTTTCGTGTTTTTAAACATGATTTAGAGAAATAACTAGTAATCAATTCTAACTAGATCATTTAAACTAACATAATATTATAGTTAGTTATTAGGGATAAGGCTTAGATAGACTGCGACATCGCCCGACGGGCCGGTGGGCGGGGCCCATGGGCCTTTTTAGTAAGCAAAATTAGCTTAACACGTGATTTTTATTGACAGATTTCAAAATATTTTAACTAAATTTGTATATTTTATATACTTATACTAATAATTCCGGATTTTTAATAAGATATATATAAATATATATAGTATAATTTACTATATAACTAATTTTTATATATATTGAAGACAACTTTGTGTGGGCGTAGTGGGCGTGCCCACTGTGGGCGCGCCCATGGGCCTTGGGCCCCTCCTAGGGGCCCATGGACGGGCGATGTCGCAGTCTAGGCCTAGAAACGGTGCTAAATGTAGGGTAATTAAGAAACCCTAAAAAGGGGGTTTAACTTAGCATCTTTGTATTGTTTAGGGCCTATTTAGGCCCTATGAAAGCCTAGTGGGCTTTTACCATAGGCCCATAGCCCATCGACAGGCCCGAGGACCGGACCTAAAACCCAGCCCATTTACGGGTTGGGTTGGGTTGGGCTTTGGGCTCTGTGGGCCGGTGCGGAAGTCTACTCTCCCCTAAAACGCGTCTATGAACTAGCACTTAGTCAATTCAACCACCCATTATGCCACTAGTTCGCTCTCGAAGCTCTCAAAATACAATATAGCAAGAGCGTAGGATTCTATTAGCTATCTAGGCTTTTAAAATTCAAGATGTTAGTAGTATTACTCTCGCTACTCGCACATTTACGCGCCAATTTATATAAACTAATAGCAATTAAAGAGGAATCTCTTTAAAATGGGTTCTATTAATAGATCTACGTGGAGCTACCCCCGCCCTTCTACCGTTCGAGAATAGCGAATCTTCTACTCGAATAACGCGGAACTACTCTAGTCCTTTCGGTCGGCGATAAATAGGTTTACAATTTTGTTAAAAGATATCCTCTCCTCTCCTCCCGATTATCGAAACGATATAACTACAAGGATAACACTGCCATTGAATTATGAATTTAAGTCCATATTCTGGGAATTAACCAACATTTTCTTGAGTTCAGCGTCGATCAAGTGCACCACACATATACATAGACAAATCCGTGGGCCGGTTGAAACCATCTGGTTCATCCAAGCAGGATAGCACAACAATATGTCACATTACCAAATTCTGTGTCAGTCATTTGGCCAACGGATATCAGACGTTATGACTAGCACGGTGTTCAAGCGATATGTGACTCACTTGCCATCCTATGATACGCGTCATCGTTCTACATGGCTAGTGTCAAAACTCCATGCATCCTCTCTCAGTGATCGTTTAGATAGACCCGTTCATAGTCCAACCAAGAATCAAGTACGTTTAAAATTTGCTATATCATGGCGAATGTCACTAGAATTATTGAAAGGCTGTGGCGGTATGCAGCTTGGATTTTGAAGTTTATTTGATTCTTCAAATTAAACAAATTGTTCTAATATATACATCCAATGCACAAGCACACCATCCTCTAGTTGGATGCGGCCATAGCCTGCCTATTCGCCACACTTCCCGAAGCCCTGAACAGAGCCGGGTTTCTAAGGAAATTCTCATGCGCTCGGAACTCCCCTCTGGGCTTCTTGGGCTCCCTGGCCTTGGGATCTCTGCCATAACCACCGCCACCAGGGGTATTTACAATGATACGATCACCAGCACGCATATCAGCAGAGGACTTGCCGCTCATACCAACATGTCGCACCTCCTTAGTGATGGGATCATGTCTGACCCAGATATTGACACCGCGCATACCCTCAGACCCACCAGCAAGGCCGTAGGGTGCATTGACACGTCGTTCTGAGAGAATAGAGACCTGAACGGGAATACGGAACTCAATGTCGCGAACACAGCCATCACCTCCGCGGTGAAGACCAGCTCCGCCACTGCCCTTGCGAATGGAGAACTCGCGAAGAATGACGGGATATTGTCGCTCGAAGATCTCGGGGTCGCCAATTCTTGTGTTTGTCACACCAGTGTGCACGCCGCTCTCTCCTTCCCAGTCGGCGCCGGCACCTGCGCCTCCGGCAATTGTCTCGTAGTAGCCGAAGCCCTTGACAATCTCGCCAGTCACTGGATCCTTGCCACCGTAGCCGAAAGTCAGGTTGTTGCACGTTCCCTGTGATGCAGCGGCTGTGTGGAAGGCCTTGAAGATTAGGTCGATGACGCGGTTGGTTGTCTCGCCTGTTGATCCGACTGTTGCCGCTGTGAAGGATGGGGTCAGGAGAGTGCCCTTCGGGCAGACGATGTTGATGGGTTGCAGGCAGCCTTGGTTGAGAGGGATATCGGAGGAAATCATGCAACGGAGGCAGTACTGGGCGAAGTTTAGTAAAATAATCCCTTGTTGACGAGAGAAAGAAGGAGAAGGAATAGGAAGGTGGTGAAAACTTACGAGAATGGCGGAATACATGCAGGCGGGCGGGCAGTTGAGGTTTCCGTGGTGCTCAGGTCCGGTACCTGTGAAATCAAAGATTGCCTCTCCTGTCTCAGAATTAATGGCGATACGCAGTACCAGTGGAGTACCGTCGTCAGTATAGTCGATGGCCTCAAGGTCAGCACCCTCAAAGCGGTCTGAGAAGACCTTGAGCAGCTCCCGCACTGACTGGGCAGCGTTTTCTTGAATCGCGTTCATATAGAACTCAACCACAGGCCAAGTGTACTCATTGACAAGTGCGCGAATGAGTTGAATACCCCTCTGGTTGGATGCGACAGCAGCCTTCAGATCGGCGATATTGTCCTTGAGGGTACGAGTGCCACTGCAGCCAGGATACTTGGCAGGCTCGTGGTACAAGATATCAATCAGACCTTCTTCATCGAAAACACCCTCTTTGATCATCTTGAACGACTCGAACGAGGCTCCCTCCTGCCATAGCTCAGTGGAGTTGGGAGGCATAGATCCGGGAATGATACCACCAATGTCAGCGTGATGACCCCGATTGCCGACATAGAAGAGAATCTTTGTCGGGTTTTCGTCATTGTCGAACACGGGCGTAATGCAGGTGATATCTGGCAGATGAGTGCCACCCGCGATCGGGTGGTTGCTCAGGATCACATCACCAGGCTTAAGCTCTCCTTTCTTGTAGCGGTTGGCTTGATATGCGATTGCCGAGGCCATGGATCCGAGATGACCAGGGATGTGAGGCGCGTTGGCGACAAGGCCTCCACTGGCGCTGAATACGGCACAAGAGTAGTCGAGTCGCTCCTTGATATTGACCGAGATGGAGGTCTTTTGCATCGCGTTGCCCATCTGCTCGGCCACACTCATGAGGCGGTGGCTGAAGACACTCAGGAGAATGGGGTCTATGGCGTCAGTGCTGGCGGCCTTGCGCTCACTATCAGTAATCTCAAGGATGATATGCTCGGGGAGCTTGACAGCCTTGCTGTTGCTATCGACCACGATTGTCTGGGTCTTGTCAATAATCATGGCCGGGCCGCTCACCCGAGCACCGGCGGGAAGGTTGGTAAGGTTGTAGACGGGAATATCCAACCATCCCTCGTTCTCAAAATAGACCTTTGAGATGCTCTGCTTGGTGAACTCAGGTGTGGACGATGGCTCGAGCTTCTTGAGTTCGGCGAATGGGTTCGAAGTCTGGACATCTTTAGCCTTGCCCACACTGCGAACACGGACGTCATCGACTAGAATGTCGCGTGGCTGAGAGAAGCCAAATTCTTGCTCGTGGCGACGGGTGAATGCGTTGCCAAACTCTGCAAGGTCTTCTGGCTGTCGGATCATCAACATGGTGTCACTGCCACGGTACCGCATGTTCAGGTACATCTCATGCTCAACGGACGACAAGTCGAATCCTTGGGCAGCTAGGCCCTGCTCGCCCTGTGCGCGAAGCTTCTTGAAGCGAGACTCTACCCTTGGCAAAATATCAGGGTGAAAGATTAGGGACTCGGGCTCTTGATTCTCGACAGTCACGTCGGCAAGCGCCATACCGTATGCAGAGAGAATACTGGAGTAGCGTGGGATAATGGCACGACAAATACCAAGATCCCGGGCGACGAAGACTGCGTGCTGACCACCAGCACCACCGAAGCAAGCCAAGTTGTGGTTGGCGGTCTCGTATCCACGTCCTTCACTGAGCGTCCGGATTGGGCGTGTCATAGTTGCATTTGCGATGGACAAGAAGCCACAAGCCACCTCCTCCGGTGTTAGGAGAGAGCTGCCATCTTTCTCTAGGTTGATTGTGGCCGTTACCTCTAGGAACATCTTCGTGACAATGCCTGTGTCGAGAGGCTTGGGGAATGATTCCTTGATAATGCGACCGAGGAACAGGTTGGCATCAGTCACGGTCAAAGGTCCGCCCTTTCCATAACAGGCAGGTCCAGGGTTGGCACCAGCGCTCTCCGGGCCGACCTTGAAGAGACCATTCTCCCAAGATAAAATGGAACCGCCACCTGCAGCGACGGTGTTGATATCGAGCTGGGGGGTCTGTATAGAGATTTCCGCGAGGGTGCTCTCAAAGACATGTTCGAGCTCGCCGGAGTATCGGGCCACGTCGGTACTGGTACCACCCACTAATTACCAGTGTCAGTTCCGCAAATTATACCGATGATATGAGAGGGAAGGGGAACTTACTATCAAATCCGAGCAATGGTGTTGCGTCACTGGGGTCATAGCATGTCCTGGAAACACCGACGACACCGCCAGCGGGACCACTGAGGACACCTCGAAGGCCAGCAAAGTTCTTGAAGTTAGTCAGACCGCCGTCTGACTGGTTGAGGAACAGCTTCTTGCCATTCTCGTCCTCAAGCAAGCCCTTGAAGCCCTTTCTGAAGCTCTCGAGATAACGTGTTGTGACAGGAGTAAGGTAAGCATCAGCAACAGCTGACTGACTCCGAGGGATGAGCTTTGCCATCGAAGAAAGTTTGGAGGAAACAGCAACGTTGAAGCCCATTCCCTTGGCGAGATCGGCGACGGCAAGTTCGTGATCGGGGAACATATATGAATGCATGAGGGCAACGGCAACATCGCGGAATCCCTGATCCCAGAGGCGCTTGAGATCGATGCGGACCGCATCAAGATTTGGGCTTTTGAGAATGCGCACTGCCTCCCCGGTGATGCCTTCTCGCAGGTCAACATCGGAATTGATATCGATAGTCGTTGGTTCTGGGTTTTCGCCCCAGCCCTCAATGGTCACACGCTCATCGACTTCGACAACAGTTTCATATAGTTTGTCGAGACGTTTCACTGTGAGATCGAATAGATCTGGGCGAGCCTGGTTGCCAATTTTGAGAGCTTCCTTGAAACCCTTGGTGGTGATGAAGGCCACGCGCTCGCCCTTCCTCTCGAGAAGTGCGTTGGTGGCAACTGTCGTACCCATGCGAATTGATTCGACACACTCCAGATCTAGTGGAGTCCCGCGGGGGATGGTGGTTCCTGTTGCGATTTCCAGGATCTGTCGGATACATTCTGTTGGTGCGTCGCTGTACTCATCGGGTGACTCAGATAGTACTTTGAGAATGACATGTTCTTTACGGCCAGGTAATTGGGCCCAGGCGTCTGTGAATGTGCCACCCCGGTCAATAGCGATCAGAACTCCCCTGGATGCCATTTTGTTGTTGATGTTGAAGTTAGAGTTCGTGTTTTCGTAGTTTTCGTTTCTCTTTCGTTGTTTCTTTATCCCAATACCCAGAGCCGTAATGATTTGAATACTTGCATTGGAAGGCATTCATCATTTAATAGTCCCGGCCTGAACGGGATGTCCAGGCCGAGATAGTCGGCTTAGGGTTAAATTTGCCGAATGCCACCGTGAGGTGCGGCTATCAGCCGACTGGGCGGGAGATAAGCGGCTCGGGGCTCAGCGGCCCGGGCAATCGATAGCCGGGGAAATTCAGACCGGCTGAAAAAGTGATAAACCGTGTGGAATCATCTGCTAATCCCGAACCTCTTTTCCCCATAATACCATGACAATCACAATTCCCCCGCGCTATCGGTGGCGTCCACTAACCCCAAGGTGTAGATAACCCTACCCACAAAGTATATGCCACCTAGGTAGATATAGAATGACTCGACTTCGCCAAGTCTCTTCCCCATATAACCGGGAAGACTTTTGATCTTTCCTTTCCCCAATTCTAGAATTTTATATCCACTCGGGATCTACAATTCAATGTCAGGCAATATCATGACAGAGCCTAATATAGAGCTGACCATGCTCAAGTCTCCCAAGCTGAACAAGGAGACCTCGAATTCCGATGACCATGACCATGAGCTTGGGAGCACAATTGAGACCTACGACCGCAAGGCCGAGAGCAAAATGCTGCGCAAATTTGATGTGAGTTTGGCTAAGTGTCTTCTCCTAGAGGGGATGCAACTGACTATGTTCCATTCAGTTCTTTGCTGTCATCCCTCTTGGTGTTTTCTACATGATGGCTATATTGGATCGGAGCAACTTAGGCAATGCAAATATTGCTGGCATGCCCGAGGATATTGGTCTGACTGGGAACCAATTTGGCATAGCCACCACGCTACTGTAAAACTAGCCCTTCTTGTTATAATCCTACCAAGCATGTTTCTAACGGACATGCAGATATGCTACTTATGTTCCCTTCGAAGCCCCAGTTTCTGTGTTAGTCAAGAGTGTTGGCCCCAAGGTTTTGATTTCGGCATCCGCCTTTTGTTGGGGCGCTTCTACTTTGGGAATGGGTACGATGAAACATATACTCTCCAAGCTGCTGGCTTTTGCCAGAAACAAGCATCACTGACAATACGAGCAGCATTTATCACAAACTACAAAGGGCTCTATGTCTGCCGTTTGCTGATGGGACTTTTTGAAGCGGGCCTGATCCCCGCAAGTGAAGTCTACATGGCCCTGGTCTACAATCGCACCGAAAGAGGACGACGCATGTCTTTGTTCTACACATTCAGCTGCCTTGCCAGCGCTTTTGGCGGTCTCCTCGCATACGGACTCACCCAGATCAATGGACCCAACGGGTTCGAAGGTTGGAGGTGGCTATTCTCAGTGGAAGCAGCCATCACCATCATTCTAGTGCCCCTTTTCTATTTTGTCTTTCCCAAAACTCCTGTTGACGCTTGGTTCCTGACCGATGAGGAGAAACGCATCGTTCGGGCACGCTATGATAATGATCCCCACTGGGCATTCGATGAGAAGTTCTCGTGGGCTGAGCTTGGTAAGGTATTCACCGATGTCAAGTTTTATGCCTTCTTTGTCTACCAGTTCTCCATCAACCTCACACAATTTGGCTTTACTACCTTTTTGCCCACTATTATTTCGGGCCTCGGGTACACATCTGTCCATGCCAACTTGATGACCGTTCCCATCTATATCTCAGCTCTTGCAGTCTTCCTTGTCATTGCCTTTGCTTCAGACCGTTATGGTATGCGGGGACCTTTCATGGCTGGCCCTGCAGTGCTGATTCTTGTCGGTCTCATCTTGCTGGTTTCAGTTGAGAATTTGAATGTTCGCTTTGCTGCTTGTTTCTGTGAGCCATATCGATCTTAATTGTCCCTCGCCATGAATGGAAAGAAAGCTGACACACGCAGTGACCGCATTCGGCCTATATCCGGCAGCAGCGCTGTCTATGATGTGGTTACAAGACAACGTCGCGGGCTTTTATAAGCGTTCCAGTATGGTTGGCTTCACGCTGACTCTGGCGAATACGTCCGGTGTCGTAGTTGGGCAAATCTTTACTGCCGACGACAAGCCGTACTATAAGAAAGGCCTTTCCGTCTGTCTCGGGTTTTGCGTCCTTGCCATCTTAATTGTTGTAGCTCTGATGACGGGCATGAAGATTGTTAACAGGCAGAGAGAGGCAGCCATTCGTGAGGCAGATGCGGCCGGTTCCTCGCTCCCTCGCCAACCTGAGAAGGGAGACTATGATGTGTATTTCAGGTATACAATTTAGATTCGTTGGAAGACATGAAAACGGATACACTAGTACTCCCAGGAACTTCAGTGGATGTATTGCAGCACGCTGTTGAGAGCAAACTACTTTTGAATGTATCTCATACCCTCAAGGGCTAGGAATATTTCCATGTTACGCAACATCGACTATCCTGTTACCAATTGGTGTATTCCCTATCACTGAAGAATAGAGACAAGTAATGCTTATCCACATGTGTATGCTTCCAAATGCAGCCCCGGAGTTCTTTAAAACACCAATACCATATTACTACCGTATTGGGACCGCAATTGGTGGTTCATAGTTCAATTGTCGCTATTAAACAGTGTTAATATCGTATTAGAAGGGTATTAATAAATGCTAAAGAGAGATTGGGGGTATTGGAAGGAAATCTAGAATATGTAGAAATTTTGAAATGTATTTTCGCCCCCAATATCTTCTCTCACCAACGTACGATTTTTTTTTCAGGAGGAGCTCCCGATAACCAACTTTAATTCCACATTAATAATACTATGGGCAAATTAAAACCCTAACTTAGTACCTAGTCTGCTGGTAGTGTCGCCAAATATTGAGCGCCTAGCTATATATGGACAAATATATGGGCCTCGGAGACAGAATTAACCCCACAACCCCCGCAGATAAGACTCGGCTTGTGGTAGAAATTCCCGAGCCTTTGAGCCTTGTTACCGTGTCTCCCTCTATATCCTGCATACTTAGATAATTCCGGCTCTAAGAAGTACTTCATCGCTCTATTTTGACCTAGCCTTCTATGGATCGTGCGGAGTCATCCGGCGGCGAGTCACAAAGACCCGCGAAGCGGGCAAAGAGGAGCTCGGTTGCGTGAGCCAATACCCACGACCCACCGGTCTTATACCCCTGTTCATTTAGGATGATCTAGCTGAGAATCGAATGCCCTTAGATGCCGGAGATGTCATACCCAGAAGATCAAGTGCTCTGGGGGTACCCCATGCATTGCCTGCGTGACCGCCGGTCAAGCTAGCGCTTGTAACTATCCCTTTCGAGAGCGGAAGGTCACAATACCTGAGCAGTATGTCAATTCCTCACAGCAGTTGGTCTATATGTGCTTGTATATCTAAGAACCAAATATAGCTACCTGAAACAATTGGAGGCCGACTCGCAGGCTCTCAGACTCCAGAATGAAACTGCCCCCAGTCAACCTAGGAGTCCCGGGGCTGACGTCGACCAGCTGCTGGACTCGACGATAGTATCAGCAGCATCAGATCTTGGGGTCGTAAACCCACTGTTCGATGCACGCCGGGAGCAGCCACCCGCTCAAATCGTAACGGAACCATCATTCATCGGTGAAGCAGCATGCGATGCGTTCATTGAAAGACTCCTGCAGTCGCTCAGCCACAGAGAAGCCAACTCACTCCCGGCTCCGCACAAGTATATAATTGATATGCCCGGAGTACGCATGCCAGCCATTAACTATACACTTCCCGAACGAGTCCACGCCAAACTGCTGGTCCAGGTGGCCGCGAGGTTCATCGGAAATGGCCAGCATCTGTTTTTAACCTCGTACATGGAAGAGGTTGACAGCGTCTATAAGAAAGATGCAGAGCCCAGCTCTATATGGTTATGCAAGTTGTTAGCACTGCTTGCTCTTGGTGAGTTGTACTCGAATAGACGGCGTGGTAACGGTGACAACAAGGCCCCAGGGGAGGAATATTTTGTATCTGCGTTGAGTATGTTGCATAACCAATATGAAGATACCACAACACTACATGTTGAGGTTTATCTCCTACTGGTGAGTCACCTTGATATTTTCCAATATCTCTTGGTCGTATCTAATTTTGGCAGGCATGTTACTCAAATGCGCTCGGTCGCGTTAGATCCGCCTATACTTATTCAGGTATTGGGATGAGAGTTGCGCTAAGTCTTGGCATGCATCGATCGTCGTCCTCTCTACATACTAGTGCTGTCGAGCGGGAGTCCCGGCGGCGCATATGGTGGTCTCTTTATCTTTTTGACCGACTGACTTGCTCCAAGCTTGGCCAACCAACGGCCGTGAACGACGATGACATTGACGTGGAGCTACCAACGATGGATGGGCTGACAGCGGAAGAGAAAGAGGAGTTCCCAGATCCAGGTCACTTGTTCGCTAGTGTTGGCCTTGCGAAGATAGCAGGAGACATATGTAAGAAGTTCCCCTAATCACGCTCGCCGTTTTTCCTACTCTCAAAGACATATCATGCTGACATTCTAATATCAATACAAGTGAGTGACATATATTGCATGCCAGGACGAAAAAAGGTTCATTTCGTCAAGAGGGTTCAAGGAATTCTACGGAACCTCCGAGACTGGGACGACACGCTACCTCAAAACCTCACATTTCGCTGGGACGATTCGAACCGCCATGTCGCCAGTCTCCACCTCTGTTACAACCAGTGCATAATCCACACAACCCGACCGATTTTACTCCACCTATTCCGCGCACAGTTCTGCCTCGATGGTTCCCGCACCGCAGACCAGCCGTCCCAGAGCTTCTCCCCGACAACCACGGCGCTGGCTGATAGCTGCATAAATGCGGCGCGCACATCCAACCGTATCCTCTCCAAGCTATTTGTTGATGGTACATTGGCCACTCTGGGCTATTGGGACGCACACTACCTTTTCTCCTCCACCCTAATCCTTCTCATGGCCGCCGTCATGAGCCCCAGCCAGGCTGTCTCCGATGCTGTGGACACTGCTCTCAGCGTCCTTTGCTCCATACGCGATGATGGCAATGTTCCCGCCAGTGACTACTATGAACGTCTCAAGCTGGTACAGAAAAGCATCACCGAACTGAGTGATAGAGTCATAAAAGGGAAAGAGGTTGGTCTCATTGCCACCGCCGCGCAGACTCACCAGGTAGGAGCTGCGGGACTTGAAAGGGCGCAAATAGAAGGTGGAGGCTGGGTTGCACAGAATAGTGACGTTGTTGAGGCAATGGGTGGAGAAAGTCGAGGTGGAGGTGTTGGTATTGAAAATTTCAGGCTAGAAGACAATTTTGACGCCCTGGCCAATCCTTATATTGACGGCTTCTTGGCTGAGAAGTCTTTCACCTGGCCGAATGCCTTTCCAGATGGAACTACGTTACAGCAGTTTGCCAATGAGCTCGGTGTTAGCTTTGGTCTGCTTGAGCCTCATGGGTAGGAAGATTCCTGACATACACTATTTTTCCTTTGATTCCCCAAACTTGGCCTGATTCTTTAAGTTGCATCATTACAGTTACCAATTTGAATACCTATATCACAGTTGAGACTGGAGATGGTGTACGGTGCAGGCAAATATGTAGAGCTGGTTAGAATCGCCGACTTTGTCAAAAATACTATATCGATTTTGTCAAACATATATCAACTACTAAATAGTGACCGCCAATCCAGGAAGACCAATCACAGACAGGCCAAAAACGTCCCAGAATTTAACGGCCAGTGAGAGCCGTAATAGCGCTCGCACAGTCCTTCCCAGCTCGGGCCAATATCCCAGAGTCTTGCTGTACCAGGACGAAACCAGCTCCGAGCTTGTTTAGAGCCCAGTCATGCAGCTCTTCATTCTCGTAGATACCAGCGAGACCGAAGATCTTGCCATACTTCTTGCAAGCCCGACTCACGGCCTTTACAGCTGACTGGAACTCACTGCTCTTAAACTGGGCAGGGACGCCAAGTTCCGTAGCCAGGTCGTTCGACCCGATAAGCAAAACATCTATTCCATCCACGGCAGCAATCTCCTCCACATTATCAATGCTTTCCCGGGTCTCTATCATCACAAAGACAGATGATGCATTGGAGTTATTCTCGGAGGTAAAAATATCTGCCGGTGTGGGCTGGAGTCGGAAATATGGCAGCTGGCCTGTCATGGACCGCTTTCCGGTAGGTGGGTATTTGCAAATGGAAACCGCGCTTATGGCATCATCTAGGCAAGTCAAAATTAGCAAAAGAAAAGAAACGTTGGGATGTTTGTCAAACCTTTGTTGTGAATATGGGGGAATATGACTCCCATGGCACCTCCGTCCAAAACGCGTTGCACGAAGCCGTCGCCACACTGGTAGGGGACACGAACAAAGGGTGTGATGCCCGAACCCAGACCTGCCATACACAACAGACTGGCCTCATGGAGAGACAACGTCGAGTGTTCTAGGTCGATAAAGAGTGCGTCATATCCACAATTGGAAGCTAGCTGCACCACTTGCGGGTTGGTGACTAGTCGGATACCGAAGGCCTATTGTCACTATTTAGCACGATAGATACACAAGTTTCACACAGCAGCCAGGAAGGGTTAGACTTACCTTGCATATTTGGCCCTTGGCTGTCTTTTGCAGCAGGTTGTTTGTGTAGCTAGTAGAAATAGAACCCATAATGAAGAAAATAAAGATAAAAATTAAGGCAATTTGATTTGAAAACAGGCCCAGCTGATATGAATGCTGTGAGAATAATCGAGATATTTGAAGATGGGCAAGTCCAATCCCATAACTGTTTTTGTACTGATCAGGACTTATGGTGGTTGTCGGCACCGGCCTATGTAGGCCGTACCCTTCTGGGTCAGGGTCGGCTCTCCAACTGCCGAGCCGTAACATTTGGGGGTGGAGCGGGTCGGTAGTTATTCGCCGACCCTGTAAGTAATTATTCCAGGTTAGATTCACAAGTAGCGGGTTTGTACGCCGGGAGAATGTTGGGAGAATGTATTTAGGTTGGAAATTCTGCGGTAGAGATGAGCAGTATTAAGAGTTTGATACGAGACTTGCCTCCCACTCCCACTTTCAAAGTTCCACTCTATCGGAAAAGATGTTTGACGATATCCCTATGGGTCCTGCGGATCCGTTCTTCCATCTGAAGAAAAAGGCAGATGAAGATAAACACCCAGATAAGGTCGACATAGGGGTGGGCATATACCGGAGCGAGGAAGGGACGTACCAGGAGTTGGCTGTTGTGAAGAAGGTAATCGCATGCCAACTCAGACTAGACGTGATAAAAGAATTTCCATTAACAAGAGACCATAGGCAAAGAAAATATTGGACCAGCTTGACTTGGGGCACGACGTAAGAATTCAGAAATATCCAGCAGATCCCAATTCCCCTTGTTAACCAACAATTCAGTATGGACTCACTACTGGAGATGATCGATTTCTCAAACTCGCCGCCGAAGTCATGTTTGGCAAAGAAAATGAAGCATTGGTATCAGGGCGGGTTTGTTGATCTTTACAGAGTGTTGCATCATCAGATATTGATTCCCCAGACTAGATCGCATCCGTCCAGACTCTCTCAGGCACAGGAGCCAACCATATTGCCGCTATTCTGCTCGCCAGACTAATAGATCCAAAGCCGGCCATCTACCTCGGAACACCTACCTGGAATAACATGAAGCCGCTCTGTGATCATGCCGGCTTAGTGACCATCGAATATCCATACATAGATCCCCAGACATCCGAACTCTCCTTCCAGCCCTGCATCGATGCGATCAGAAGCGCCCCTACTGGGAGTGTATTTGTTCTGCAGGGGTGTTGTCACAACCCCACTGGCAAGGACATCACACCAGAGCAGTGGCAGCTGTTTGGAAAGGAAGTAAAAGCGCGCAGTCATCTGGCTTTCATTGATATTGCCTACCAGGGACTCGGTGACGGGTTAGACGAGGACGCTGCGGGCGTCCGGATACTTTCACGTCTCGGCATCGACATGGTCGTGTGCCAATCATTCTCGAAGAATTTTGCGTTATACGGCGAGCGCTGTGGAGTGCTCCATGTAGTCGCGGGGTCGGTTGAGGCCGCGACTAACACCAAAGACCAGCTGCGGAGTCTGATACGTCGCGAGTACTCTTCCTCGCCGGCATACGGATCACGGTTGGTCACGATCGTCCTAGATGATCCCGAGCTGCGTGCCGAATGGTAAGCAATTTGCTTCTATATAATTGGTACCTCCTGTGACTGATAATTTATTTCTATAAAGGGTTGCGGAACTCACGATCATGAAAACGAGGTTACAACAGAACAGGCAACGACTATACAATGAACTGTCAACGGTTCTCGAAGTATGCCATCTGCCCATGTCCCGTATGAAGATTGCAGGTGCTGACACGACCTACTTTCAGACACCAGGGAATTGGAAGCACATTGTCGAGGAAAAGGGCCTTTTTTCGTATGTACTTTCTTCTGTTCCCCAAAGGTGAGTCATCATAACTAACCATTGACCAGGTGCCTTGCCCTTACCCCAGGACAGTGCAATACACTCATTAACAACTACCACGTACATCTCCCGGTGAGTGGCCGTATCAATGTCGCTGGGCTGAGTACGAATAACATCAAACGTACATCCCGTGCAATTGATGCAGTGGTCCGAGGGAATATATCCTAAAGATCGTCAGGTTGCCGATGGATAATTGGCTTTTCTGGTTTAAATTTACCACCTCAAATAACACTCAGGTATATAATTGAGAGCCAGACGGCACATGATTTTATAACACAGTTTATAGTCCCCAATAATGATCACACCACAAGGAACCATTCATGTTCGCATCGGATTGCTATAGAAACAACCCTTGCTCAGTAGTATCGGGACTTTAATATAGTGCATTTCTGTACTCCCGATCGAATGAGTCATTGTGAATTACTTTCGATTGACAGAGGCCACCATCAAGACATCCTGTTCGCTTTGACACATTTTCTTGCACTGCTCCTTCCTACCGCGAGTGACTATATTTCTAGACCAGGTGCCTCGACAGCTTCCTCTTGTCTTTCTCCCTTTTTCGGATCCTAGATTCTATACTTTGTTTCCCACTCAGTGCAAATATTGATCTGCTTTTCAAACCAAATGACTACCGTCGCACATAGATAGCTAAGTTCAGATATATCTGTGGGTATGTATGACAAAAATCATAGTTTAGACACTTACACGGCCAAATCATCAACCGTAAAGTGAGCGGGCTATACGGGAAACATCTGGCCCCCAGGATGTATCGATTTTATTATCGACCAGACATGCGGCCCAGATCGCTGCATATATTCTCTCTGGGAGCGTTTCAACCGGAAATGCGCAGAATTCGTCGCCATTCTAAGTAACACTTAGTTTAGGTATATAGAAGCCGATACTATCATGGGTGCAACTATATCGAATCCCTTCGTGTTGTAGATCGCATTGAAGGTGAGACAAAGTTCCAAGTTCAAGCCCAAATTGCCATAATGTTAAACCTGGCTAAGCAGTGATGGGGCCGACGGGATCAACTAGCCGCCTGCAGCTTACCTTGCTGAGCCTTGTTGTCCGCCCCCGTGACGCGCCATCTCGGGGCCAAAACAAACCGCGATGGCTTCTGTAAACCTAGTAACTTGCCACCATCCTGCCTGAAATTCACTCTCACTATGTGTCAACCATTTGCTCTGGTATCTCTTTCTCTCGATGTGCAGGCGACTACCGGGTCTCATGACCATGAACATACGCTCCTCAACAGGGACGTTTGCGACGGGATTGACGATATGCCGATCCTCTTCCACAATTATCTCAGTGATGTATGCCGACCAAAGTATATGAAAAGCTCGGAGGGGGTTTGCCATCATGCGGATTACTAGTCAAATTTGTGCGTGGCGTTCTGTCAGCTCCGGACTTGTTTTGTTTATGGGAAGGAGTTTCCCTTGGGAATGTGGTGCGATGGGCCTCCCTGCAGAATTACCGATGTCACGAAAAGCATGACTTGGTCTGTGGATATAAGACCCTATGTCGAGAAGGGGTTAGATGATGGGATTAGTGGAGGCTGGCAGTCAAAGATCACGGCTGATGTGGGACCTTGGGGCATGTCTTACGAGAAACCTTTGAGTGATGGATAGTGCGGGTACTGGAGCTGGGTGTCTATCAAGAGAACTGTGTGGTAAGTAGACCATTCTTGTTATTCGCTTGGTGGACGAAGAATTGACGGAGACAAACTAACTCGTGTCAGTGGAACATTGTCCTATCAACAAATCGAAGCAGACCGCTGTGTGGATGATATGCACACCGTTGAAAATTACTGCGTAGATGATCTACGTCGATATTCCGATGGTACTGTCGATGGAGCAATGATCTTTGTCTACACTGACTGCTTGACGAGACTTCCATTGCCGATGCATCAGCAGAGTAGGATATATAGGTTAGCGGGTGTTGCTTTAGACCTGGGTGAACGTTCTTCAGTCCAGGGTTTGGGTGAATATGCTGTAATTTCAGACTCGATAGAGCAAGTGTTGTGAAGAAAATATGTATTCGTATCCTAAATATATCGCACTCACCCCCGGCACTAGGCTCATCCACTTTTCACCAATTTATTGTGAAACCATGCGGTATATAATTCTCTCCAGTGAGATATCTTGTACATACGACCATAGGGTGTGGAAAACAGGGCTTCCCGTCCGCTCAGCCGTACTTAAGCCACACGCCGGTGAGTTAGTAGTTGGGTGGGTGACCACCAGCGAATCCTCACTGTTGTATGTTTTTGGTTTTTTATTTTTTGTGTCCTCTGCAATCCTTAATGTGCCTTCAGCTGGAATTATTGTCGGTCCCAGCAATATTCTCATCAAAGAAAGCGCAGAGCTCATGTCGGGGTCTACGTGCTGAGAACCTCAATTCCACAAGATAAAAGCATTTACCAATATCTATAACCACGTCAATCCAGACACCAATATACTAGTATTTAATTCAGACCGATCTAATCCAGGTCTAGTGGACGAGCTTAGCGAGGCTACCGATTTCCAATGCGTGGGCGATTTCGATCGGGTGTCAACTTTGGAATGCACTCGACCCATTTTGCCTTTCATCTGCTTCGTTAGGTTCTCCAACTTCTCATACGTCAGGGCATCAAGTAACCAGTTCGCGGCGGAGTAGTTTACCAAATTAAAGGTTTCTCAATTGCCTAGCGGAATCACTAATCCTATAACAGCAATTTACTCCGCCCTTACGCCGGAGCTTTGTTAGTGAAAACATGAATGCTATGATATATTCAAATACAGTGACTGCCATATTGAGAGGCCATCAGATTCAGTTTGCACTTTCCTTCGACACAGATCTTATCGCAAAAATTGCCTTCAGAAAGTACTACTTCCTCACACCTGGCTCGACTTGATTCCCCGTTGACTCGTCTTCTCCCTGACCCCTAATACGACACAATTGGCTTGCACTGTGAAAAGAAATAAATGCAGAATCTAGCGTCCATGGCGGAAGTTCTCGAGATTGGGCATTTTCTGCAGACAGACACTCGAATCACACAGCAATTGTCTCCTGCAAATGAAAAGACGCTGAGCTCGGACGGAACGAACGAAACGAGCAATCAAGATGAACATCTACCTCGGGTTGATGACCAAATTCCCGTCTCGGCATGGCTTGTCATACTGATCAGTACACTCGAGCGCTTTGCCTTCTTTGGAATTCGTGAACCATTCCGTGAGTGCAGGTGGCATGTGATTTTCATCTTCCCGTCCATTGACCTGAGGGCAGAAAATTATCTTCAGAATCAGCGAGATGATCCTTTACGACCAGGCGCACTCGGATTGGGCCAGAGCAAGGCTAGTAATCTATCATATATGTTTTCGTTTTTGCTGTACACCATGCCGCTATTCGCTAGCATTATTATTGATTGCTTCCTCGGGCGCTATCGAGGGATCCTGGTTTTCTTATGGTTAGGACTTAGAACATGTTATGACCGGATTTTATTGATTTTAGCTAACATGAAGTGCATAGCATCTACGTAAGCGGGGCGTTTATCTTGACCATGACGTCCATACCATCATCCTTGGACGCAGGCGCAGGGCTTCCAGGGTTCTTGATCGGCATCATCCTAATGAGTATTGGCCTGGGGGGTGTGAAGTTAGGCGTCTCACCTTTAATGGGTCTGTTGTTTCCTGTTTTCCCGCCAGTAATCACTAACGAGAAGTTATATAGCCGATCAGTACACCAGTTGGGAGGAAAAGATCTTGGTCAAGCCCAACGGCAAGCGTGTCATAATTGATCGGGACCTTAGTATGGATAAAATATATCACGCATACTATTGGTGAGTGGTACAAGGCTCAGTTCAACTCCAAGGAGGCATCAAGCTGACCTAGTCTCAAAAGGGCTGTAAATACTGGGGCGTTGTCTGCACTTGCCACAACTTACATTGAGAAAGATGTCGGATTCTGGGCGGCATATCTGCTTGCTTATTGCGCCCTTTGCTTATCGTTGCTCGCACTAGTCCTCTGTCGAAATAAGATTGGTATGTGCTAATGCAAAAACCCGATATGAGGTAATACTGAAAACCATCTTAGTCAAGCGACCCCCGGTGGGAATATCTTGCCCACAGCTTTTCGAATCATGTTGTGTGCAGCGAAGAACGGCTTCAACATGGACACTGCACGGCGGCAAGGTCAAACGCATGCAGTCGACTGGGACGACAAGTTTGTGATGGACCTGCAGCGCGGCCTCATAGCATGTCGTATCTTTGCATTCTACCCTATCCTGTGGGTCTGTCATCTACAGATAAATAATAACCTCATCTCCCAAGCGGCTCAAATGGAAACTCACGGTCTCCCGAACGACTTTTTTCCAACATTGAATCCAATCGCCGTGCTCGTCCTACTACCGCTAGTCACCAACGTGCTCTATCCCACTTTGCGCAAGCTGCATATTAAGTTTCCGCCAGTCAACCGTATGGCAGTTGGCTTCCTTATAGAAGCTATCGCAATCGCCTATTGCGCCGGTATCCAGCAGGTCATTTATACAAGAGGGCCATGTTTTGAACACGCGTTAGAGTGTCCTGCGTCAGACGGGGGCAGAATTCCGAACCGAGTCAGTGTTTGGCTTCAAATACCGGTCTACGTCCTAGACGGTTTAGCAGAAGTATTCTTCGACGTTGTGAGCCAAGAATATGCGTACAACAAAGCCCCGGACAATGTCAGAAGCCCTGCTCCTTTTCGATCCAAAACATTTGCTGACACTTATTGCTCTCGTTAAGATGAAATCGATAGTTCAGGCCGTTTTATCTTTATGTCAGGCGTTGGTGCAGGGCTGGGCTTCGCCTTGTACCCAGTTTCACGTAGTCCCCATCTTGTCTGGATGTACGCCGCTCTCGCAGCCGCTATTGGCCTCAAGATGTACCGCGTCTAGCGCCTTAAACCCAAATCAAACAAAGCTTACAGCATGAGCTCGACAATAGTATTGACGAAGTTTTAATTGAAGGGCCGGCTCGTATTTTGGAGCCGCTCAAGCCTTTTATTCAACATGAAACTGTTCTCGATATGACTGATACGACCCTTTTTTGGCAAAATTCTCAGGTTTGATTTCCCTGGAGTATTCATGGATCATTGCTCAAGAATGATAGCTCTCATCGAAATAGAGGTGTGTAAGGGTATCCATGTGGTCTTTGGGCTGATAAGTGTTTCAAAACAGATTGGATGTACGCAAGCACAGATATAAATGAATGACTCGGGACAATATATTCCCTCTATTGAGATCTCCCTTTAGTCACAGACCTTCCTGTATCTTATCTAGGCTCTGTATCCTCCCCTCTTCACTTCTATATAGCTCTACAATAATACATATTGTACCTTTACGATCTCATCTACTATGCTGTAGATTCCAACACCCTCAAAACAATTGAATGTGGCATGGCAATTTACTGTATTCTTATGACAACCTGCTACTAGTACTCAACAGCCCCTGGATTGAGTTTCGGACCGTCGTATCAACAAGTCGGGTCGACATCCGACCTCCATCAGCATATCGTATAACAAGTTATATATTTGTGGCAACTATTAGGTTCCATGGTCAGCCGTCCATATTGAACTGCGAGCTGGAGGACCTCACTGACTTGGTGTTCCGCTTTATCGGGATCGTATAATTTGTGGTCGAAGTCTCGCAGCTCTGCAATGCAAAGTTCGCGAGCAGACTTTCCGATATCCCGTTGTAAACCACCCGGGTCCATAGCACCCACTTGTGGTGACTCATTTTGCAACAACATGGCCAGACGATCAAGCGTACTCAGACCTTCGCGCTGTTCCACACCTGATCTTCTCGACCCGGGCTCGAACCGTGCTGTATAGTATTCAAGAGCAAAGGCGTCGACTGAAGGAAAACCCAACAACTGCAAAGCATGCTGGCACTGCTGTAAGCGGCCACTCATACTCTGGTCACTGGATGGGACTCGAGAAAAAACTGTGTCCGAGCAGCTTCCCATGTACTGAAGTGGGAAAGGCTCGAGAGCCGCATCAAGGGGGCCCGGGAGCAGTCGCACAGAACTTTGCGTTTGGTCAGCATCTTGAAAAAGCTTCCTGTTGGCGGCATCGAGAATGCCACGAGGCAATGGTAACGAATCTGTGCCGAGAATTGATAGGCTGCGTTCTTCGACTGTCGACGCCAGTTCTGCGTCGGTTTCATCTACTAATGGGCCGAGACATTCCCAATTGATTAGGCTCGTCAAGCGGGGCAGTTGATCATGTCTGGCGGGCCGTGGCATGCTGGACCAGATACGGTTGGACAACCTTAAACAACTGGGAAGGCCCTACTTGAAGGCGATCAGGCAAATCATGCTAATAAGGATTAATTCTCCCACAGCATGTAGAAAAGCGAATATAATGGGTAACTTTGGATGGAAAAGAATTGCTGATATATTGGCTAGGCCCCTTGATTCTCCTATGACAAATGTGATATATTTTATCTCTTCGGCAAGATAACATTCTCTAACACTTGGATATATGTAAATATATACAACGCCCCATACATTTCAATAAACCCTCGTTGTCAAATACGCTGTATATAAAAACACAGTTATATGAATCCAGTAACACCAGTCCTAGATAGCTGACCGCGAGATATTTGAGAAGAGTAGTTGAGATAATTGAGGACATCAACCTCTCGATCGTTTGAATCGGCCGTTCCGAGTTTGATTGCCACGTATGTATTAGAGTGGTAATCCCACATTAATGGTGGATGATGTTATGACCTAGAGGAGCTGGAAGCAGTGTCCGAGGATTTTGAAATTTCCGTCCTATCTCGTCGCGATCCTTGAATAATTGAAGACTTACTTTGGCATTCCACCATGATTCAGCCGTTGTTGGACAAAAGAGGGGCAGTATATTGTGCTTATTTTCATTGCACCGAAAGAAAGGGCTTTGGGGAAATTATATTAATCAATTGATGTTAAGAAGCTAATATCGAAAAAAGAGTGCCCCGAAAAGCATTCTACTACATATTACACACCGGGAAGTCCAGAAAAAAAAAGATGCGAACTCTAGAGCAAAAACCCATCCCCAGATAAAAACACGAGGCACCTCAAACACTGATCTAAATATGCCACACAAAGTAGAAAGACCCAGACAAGAGCAAGATGATTACACAGCAGCACCGATGGGGGCTTTCTCAGAGCCTTCTGTTACTGTGTGGGCGTCGATTTTCTTAAAGTTGTTGAAGGGGCTGAGACAGAAAGCGATTCCCGCCGCAGCGATCGAAATGGCGTAAGCGAGCTTGAGACCGGTCATGTAAGCAGGCAAAATAGCAGTCACCTGCTCAGATGTAAAGACGTCTCGCAGCTCACTCGCACCAGTCGAGACCACTAAGGCTGAGTTGATGCTCGGTGCGGTTGCGGCAAGTTTGATGATAATCTGGTTGACGAAGGCAGCTTGCGCTGCAGCCAAGAAAACTGCACCCCCGACAGTTTGGAAGACTGACAGATGAGGTGTGTTAACAGGATTTTATCGGATAATGACAAAGTAGTAGGCAAACTACTCACAGACAATAACACCCGTCACGGTTGCAATATCATTGGGAACCACTGCACCATGCACCGCATTGATGGGAACCTGGTAGGCCAATCCCCATCCAAATCCGCCGACGATTTGGTATCCAATCCATTTGCCTGTGCTTGTACCAATGTCCAGCGAGTACAACAGCCCCGAACCGATGGTTGCAAGGACACCACCGACAATCATAAGAGGAGCAGTATGACCAGTTTTGGTGATGCTGCCACCAGAGACAATGATAGCTACCGACATCGAGACGATCAAAGGGAGGTTTCGCACACCAGACATAGTAGGGCTGACGTTTTGAACGCTCTGGAAGTAGTAAGGAAGGTAATAGACTATGATAAAGTACGAACCCCCAAAAACAAACGCGTAGATTGAATTCACAAGGATGAGGCGGTTCGACATCAAGCGCGGTGGAAAGGCAGCGCGTTCTCCTTGGAACCATTCCCACACCACAAAGGTAACAATCATGAGAGGGAAGCCGACAAGAAGACCGATCACAGTGCTGGAGTTCCATGCCTTTGTCTGTCCACCAAACTGCAGTGGCAAGATATATGAAGTGATGGTACAGATTAGAAGGATCGTCCCGATAGGATCTATCTGCAGGAGCTTCTCCTTGAATGTAGCCTTGGTTGTCGAAGCTCTGTCGTGTGGATGGAAAAAGAAAATAATGGAAGCTGCTGCGACGCCTCCAACGGGCAAATTGATGTAAAAGCCTAGATGAAAAACGGAAAAGAAAAAGTCAGCGAAGTCCAGCATTGAGTGAAGAACAACTACTTCGGTAGATCGAGTGAGTAGCAGAAGTACTCACACCACCTCCAAGTTATTTTATCGGCGAATGCACCACCAACAAGGGGGCCAACGACCGACGCTATACCGTAAGACATGCCAATAATACCGGTGAAGAGTGGCCGCCTTTTTGGACTGGCAATGAAAGCGATGATAATGAAGACTCCACTCCCAATACCAGCTGCACCGACACCAGAAATTGCACGACCGACAATCAGTGCCACGGAATTTGGAGCCACACCACATATCAAGCTTCCAAGTTCAAAAATGAAAACAGCAAACAGGAACGAGAGTTTCAGCGGGAAGAATTTGTATACTTTTCCCCAGGTTGACTGGAAGCCTCCAGTAGTCATCAAGAATGCCGAGCCATACCAACTGGCATCATCGAGGCTGTGGAACTGATCGGTGATTTTTGGAATAGCCGTCGCTACAATCGTCTATTTATTTCACATTAACATTAGATAGTGGTTGCACTTTGAGGAGGCGCTCCTCTCCTCACTGAGGCACTGTGAGACATACCATGTCGAGGGCAACTAAAAAGATGCTCATACCAAGAGCTCCGACAACGATGAGTAGCTTGAGGCCATGAGGATACTGTGCTTCGTCGTTCAGGTCCAGTTCTTCGGCGTCTACCTTTTTCGGTCGGTAAGAAGTATCTTGGTTATATGGGGCACTGTGATTGTCGCTCTCTGAATCGGCCGCAGAAGGAGTGTTGGTTATTGATGACTGCACACTCGATTCTCCGTTCTGCCGCTTCTTTTCCACGTCGAATGTTGAAATCATTTCCGTTAATAACGGAGTGTTACCGGTCGGTAATTGTAGAGGAATAATGGCCTCGACACGACAGGACAAATTGAACTAAATAATAATAGTTTCACATGGAGACGAGGCTTTTTAGAACTTACTTAGTACTTTTGAAAAGCATGTATTACAAATGTCGGCCGAATTTGAGCCTGTCCCTGGCAGAGCTTCTTCCAGACATTTCCCCGGAAGAACGAGTAAGTAAACAGTCACTGGCCCGTAGCACGTTTCGACCGTACAGTGGGACTCGGGATAGGGCTTTTGTCCGCCGCATGTTGCATTTTGCGGTCGAATGACATTCGCTGAGTCAGCTGTCCCAGTAATTTCCCCGGCGGTCCGATCGCTCTGTTTACCTTTCATCTTTTACGGCCTCCGCAGCCGAAACACCGTGACTGACTGACTTTGTGCATGGACGCGGATATGGACTGCGATATTATTGCCGAATCAGAGGCGAAGCGGAGGAAGATCCGCAAAGGGACTAAGAGTTGCTGGGAGTGCAAAAAGCGCAAGATGAAATGTGTGTATGTAGACCCCAGCTCTCCAGCCGATGCCGAAACCATCTGCATCGCCTGCCAACGGCGAGGGTCCAAATGCGTGAGCCAGGAGTTTGAGTTTGAGAACCCAGGATATCTCGAAAGGAAGGGACGACGCCACACGAGCGGTAAAGATAAAGATCGTGTTGCGAGGGTTGAGGCCTTGGTTGAGCAACTGAGCAGGAAAGTGGACCGTGATAAGGGAGTAGGAGTACCTGCAACTAGCGAAATTCCGACACCTAGTCATAGAATTCCTACTCCAGATCTTGCATCAATAGGCCAAGAATCTTCACGTTTCTTGTCTTTATGCACTCCTTCGGATGTACGTATATGTTTTTTTGGAAGTTCAGTGTACGATGAACGGTCACTTATTTTATCAGGATCATGGCCCAGCTGAAGCTGAGGGGAGATATAAAAAACTATCTCAAAGATTGCACGAGTCATTGCCCTCACGACAAGTTATCGAGATGATAAACAATGCCTGCGGTAGAAAATCCATACTTTTTTATGAGATGCTAAGCGCTCCATATTCTGTCCTCCAGCAGAACGGCCTCAAATCGCCAGGCAGTTTACTCGAAATACCTAGTTCAAGCTCGCATCCGGTGCTGATCGCAAGGCATATGCTTTACATTGCTACTTTCCTGCAGCATCTCCACCCTAATCTTCTTGGGGCGATAAATGGCTTGGCGGAATCACTCCACGCCCTGATGGAACGATTAGCAGGAACTGCTATTAATTTGGTCACAACAAACGACGAGCTTTTTGGTAGCATTGAAGGACTGGAGTGTGTTATGATGGAGAGCATGTACTACCACGATGGTGGGAATCTACGACGAAGCTGGATGGCCAACCGGAGGGCTATGGCTATTGCGCAAATGATGAACATTCACCAAAGTCAAAGCCGAGCAAAATACAAGGTTCTTGTCCACAAAACGAAAGCTCATCCACAGTTCATGTGGTTTCGAATTGTCTCCCGCGACCGTAATTTGTGTCTCATGCTAGGTCTTACGCAAGGCTCCTTTGATCAGAGCATGGGCACTGGTATATCATTCAGAGATGATATCCCTATGGGCCGCCTCGAGCGGATGCACTGTACTCTCGCGTCTCGCTTATTGGAGCGCAACGAGTCTGACCCGTGCGCTAATGACTTTGTCCTAACACAACACCTCGACTTGGAGTTACAGAAAGCGGGTAGAAGCATGCCCAGCAAATGGTGGCTTATGCCAAACCTAGACAGTGTCACGGATGATGACCCACAGGCTCTCTTTTTCGATATGGGACGTCTGTTCAACCAGTTGTATCATTATAACTTGCTTAATCAGCTCCATCTGCCTTATATGCTTCGTTCATCACCTGAACGGAAGTACGAATATTCCAGAATGACCTGCGTGAATGCATCGAGGGAGGTTCTCTTGCGATTTATCATGTTTCGTGGCTACAACAAGAATAAGTTCTGCTGTCGGACAGTTGACTTTTTCGCACTCATGGCCGCCATTACACTACTTCTGGCACATCTCGACAGCCACCGGTTTTCACAGACCACCAACCTCTTAGCTCACCAATATCTTAGTGATCGGGCCATGATAGAGCAGGCGCAGGTGAACATGGAACAAATCAGTCGCGTTAACGGAGATACTCTAAGTGCCCAAAGTGCGGACTTATTGTATAAGTTGCTGGCCATCGATTCCGAAACAGCAGATGGCGTCAGTACGGAGAGCGTCAGCGTTCAGACACCAGAAAGCGCAGTGTTACAGTCAAACGAAAACGACAACGGCGTTGTTCGGGTGCAAATACCTTACTTTGGCATCGTCAGAATTGCCCGTCATGGCGTTGTTTCCAGGGAAATGGTCAACGCACAACCTCCTATAAGTAATGGCCAACCCTACGCTCCGCTGATTGGTATGCATAACGCCGAGAGCTCGGAAGCTGCAGTGCGTGATCTTGGCTCTGGCCGCTTTGATGGAAATGCATTTCCCAGCTCAATGGCCGAAGCGGATTGCACCTCTGTCGATAGTTTTAATGGCCTGCCTGCCCAGCTCACATCGCGATATCAGGATACCGTTTCTGATACCCTCCTGCAGGACTATCAGGATCCTGAGCTAACTGCCGGAGTGGACGACTGGGCATTCCAGGGTGTCGATTTGGCTTTCTTTGACAGCATAATGAGAGGCCTCGATAACGGAAATACTTCAGAAACCTGGGATAATGGGCCTTAATTTTGAAGATATAATAATAGTGTGCTATTGATACTAAGTGGTTCGCGTCCCAACCAGTCAGTTGTATGTTTTTGCTTTTCTTTCTTTTGAATTTTTTGGTTTCTCTTTGACGTCCATTTATATCCACAACGACCTGAAAAGATAGATTGGGTATTTCGTAGAAACGGAATTTCGCAAGACATAGATAAATTACCTAGCCTTACATGAATAACAACAGTCTACATAAAGAAAATTAAGCATCAACTTTGTTACTAGTATTAGGCCATCTTAACTGTCTAACCTACTCCCCCCAGAGGCTTTACATTGACCAGCGTTCGCCCTCCTATTCTCTCACTACCTAATACTGTGTATTCTATAATTCTCTCCAGTATTATATCCTGTACATACGACCATAGGGTGTGGAAAACAGGGCTTCCCGTCCGCTCAGCCGTACTTAAGCCACACGCCGGTGAGTTAGTAGTTGGGTGGGTGACCACCAGCGAATCCTCACTGTTGTATGTTTTTGGTTTTCTTTTTCGCTGGCCACATTGTTGTAAACAGCGGACCCGACTTGAGCCAGGAAAATTGTTTGTCCGGAAATATCGCGGGTGGCTCACTAATCTCAACGTCACGCACCTAGGTGTCGTTCTATCACCTGACACTCTAGTTCTCTATATACTCAAGATACCTCCCTTCATGCCTCGCCTCAGCTACAGCCTCCTACTTCAATCCTAAATTAAGGTGATTGGTATGCCCCCCCCCTTAACATACACGGAGTGTAGTGTTGGGCGCTTGGCAAGGTTATAACTAGGATTTAGTTATACGGGAGCTCTACTACTTTCTAAGTGAATCTCTAGACTTTATAAATGTCTAAATAACGCGTTATCTCGCGTTTTTAAATGTGATATAAATCCAACCAAGTGATTAGAAGAATAAAATATTACCTCGAGATAAGGGCTAGAAACGGTGTCTAAACATAGGGTAATTAAAAAAGTCACGTTTTTCGGAATGTGATTGTTTAGTGCTTATTAGGCCCCATTAGGCCCCCATTAAAAGCCTAGTGGGCTTTCACCCCCGGGCTCACGGCCCATCGGTCAAAACCCAGCCTATTAGTGGGTTGGGGCGGCTTGGGCTTTGGGCTTTACGGGCTTTGCGGAGGTCTCCTTGCAGCAACCACATTTTATGCTGACGTGGAAAATTGGGTAAATTTCATGTTCAGCCAAGGTACGCGCTTGCCTGGCGGTTTGGTTGCCATCGACTGTATCAGAGAAATGCTTTTACCAGGTAAGGAAACTTGGCATGCTCGTATATCATCTCTTAGCAGCGCGCTCTCCGAAAGTAGCGGGGATTCAAGTCCTCCCTCTTGGGGTGAAGAGGATCAATTTGTATGTAAACTAAATATATAAGTGTCTCGTACTACGAGGTACTGGGGCTTCGATTTAACGAGAATTAGCTAAACTGTACTTTTTCACTTTTCAACCCAACCTTGGGGCATGAATAACGCAAGATCTCATGGAAATTTACAATGGACGAAATTGTGACTGACATCCGAAATTTATAAAAAAAGATCTGGATTCAATTGGCACTCTTCCTGATTATCAACGGCGTGGAGCTGGGTCTATGATGGTCCAGTGGGCTTGTGATCTGGCGGATAAAGATGGTGTTGCGGCCTATGTGGATGCCAGCAAGGAGGGCGAAAGTTAGTCGTAGTCCACACTGCAGAAGCTAAAGCGATAGTGCTGGTTGAGGAATATAATTCCAGGGGACCTAGCAACTATGTATAAGCTACAATACGAATCAGCAAGATGAAATCTTTTCCCCCTTTTCTCTGACCATACATCTCGAAGCATAGAAGAATAGTCCGCAGATCATGTTCGATCCCTCGAAGCCATCTTGCGACGAGCCATCGACAACCACACCCGAGCCGGGCTGATTGAAATCAACAAAGGTATGTTTGTTCAAAAAAAAGATATCATAATGCCAGCAAAACTACATTAAAAAGAAGAGTAACTGTAGTGACCCATATACCAGGATAAGTCTTGGATGAGATCCCTACCTCAGAATGACCTCAATATCAAATCGCATGTTCAACCGCTGAAGGTGTTGACCATCGTGGAAAGTAACAATCCTTGCGATTCTCTTTATACCTTGGCCCCACGCACACAAAACAAAGGCGGCAACGGTCTTACCTATTGGAGTACCCAGCAGAGCATCATACTCAGGTCCAGGCGTCCAGGTCTCCAAGTTATTGTTAGGGTATTGAAGCCCTTGAGATCTATACAGTTCATCGCGAACAAGTTGCACTGTGTCAGTTTCGGAAATGTCAGTCACAAATACATATCTCAGGGTTTCAAGGGGGAATTCCATCTCATAGGCAGCCTTAGTAAATTCCGATATGTGTGGAGCAGTACTTCGCCTAGATCGGCGGATCCAGTCAAGGAACACTACCCCTTGTCCAGTGCGTCCTTCCCAGCCCACCGGTGGGCCTCGTAGACCCTCGATATGTATGTAATTAAGGTCGTCCGATAGATCAATAGGGTACATAAAACGGTCCCACGTTGGATCCAACCATCCATATTCGTGGGCGACGGCATAGTCCCGATGTGGAGGCTTATATGTTACAGCAAATGTGGATATCGGGTATGGGCATCCTGGTTCATGGTCGCGGTCGATCCATTTTCGTAGCCTTCGGCCTTTTTCTTCCCATGGAGAGTACCAAGACATTGTTAGTAGGGATTGGAGAGCGGGTTAGATGGGAGAAGAGAAAAGGTCTGAATTAATACTCAGCAGCTTACGAATTTGATAGAGTTGAAAACGATGTTTTCTGGTGCCTGGCTTTATATTTATGGGATCCCAAATTGAAAGCTTAGCAATACCATTGTTTTAATGAATTCTATGTAAAGGACGACTATAAAGACAAAGTGAACAATGAGTCTTAGTCTAAGAGGAAAAGGGTCACTGGGCAAGGACAAGCAATAAACGTGGAGACAAAGGAAAAACCTCCGACAACTGAGAGAGATGTAAATAAAACATAGCACTCGTATTTACTAGAGCGATGTATATTGAATCTCATTCTAGCTGTAGTAAGATGCACCTCCGGAGGAAGGCTGTTTTGGAGGCGTCGGATGTATTTATTTTATAAGGGAATACATGATGGTAACTAATACGTTATCGACGTAAGAAGCAATACGCGTCCAATTGACAAGGGTGGTCCGGAAATACTCTTAAAATAGACCAGTGTATCTTGGTGCTGGGGCCACACTGTCAATCAAAGAGTGCAGGTGGTCGCACCAGTTTCGCGACGCACTATAATCATAAAACGTTGCACTGTCTTGCAAGCAAATTGGCGATCCAGGAAACTAGAATTTTCCATAAAATAGCAAACAACTCAAGCCCCAGAGCTGAGTGGGCCTCGATAATCTGTCAAATCACTCTCTTCTGCCGCTTCCCGACATGGGAACCTCCTCGGTGCCATACATTGCAAATAGTGACCTACATTATATTACTTACTAAACTACTTATGAACCTACTTATCACAATACTCAGCCTGTCTAACCAGAGCTCTTTGCTTTACGCTCTGTGATAGATCATACCCCTTGGTAGAGGCAAACCCCCAATGATGAAACTAGACTCGGCAGTAGCATTATCCACCTTGGGATAGATTACCTACATCCCTTCAACGAAGTAATTCAGTCTAGATTTTATAGTGGGAGATCGGTATCCATGTTCACCGGGAGTAATTCTGTACTTTAAAGGTTCTCCAATACCTGCGCTGAAGCAGAAAGACAAGGATTATGTACGGGTGACTAAGTGTGCCACCCGCGACTCAATTATTATTGGTTAATATTGCTAGCAGTAATTTAGTCATCCACCCTCACTTCCTGAGTATACAGTCAGAATTGTACAACTTGCCTACCATTTAATTGATAATTTACAAGTATATGCTCCATCTTTAAATCAATTAGTGTTGAACTAGTTTACTTTTCTTTTTCAAAAAACAGATAATAAGTAGTATAAAAGCTATAGAAAAAAGTAGTAAAAAAAAACCAGGGAAAAGGCCATGATTTCTAAAGTACTCGGCCCCCAGGTTATTAGGCGGGAGCGAAGGGCCGAGTACCCCGACTTCTAAATCTCCTAGTAGTCACATAACCGCTCTCTATAGTAGCCTTCTATAGTCCCTCTCTCCAATTCCCCCCTCTTTATAGTTTCATACTTTCTATAATATATAGGTATCATACTTTATGATATCATATACTAGATCGTAGATTCTAACAGATACGATCGCTTTCTTTATAAATGAAAGGAGATAAATTGAAATTAGCATATATGCTTCGAGAAGGCGGCGACAAAAGCGGACGGTAGTATAGGCCAATAATAATAATTAAGTCACGGGTGGCACACTTAGTCGCCCGTAAGTATGTCAAATTGGTGGCTTTTTGAGATACCCACTTGTCTGCCTAGGGACTCGCTTTCTGTTCTGCCCACAAATCACCCCTCATTCCCCGACATCTCATCAGCCATCATCTCCTCATAATCTTTCTTCCAGTCCTCATACGTCCGATACAAATAGTTCTGTGCCGCCGGATGGTTGCGATAATATGTTTCATGGTTGATCTCACAGACGCCGTCCTCCTTCCCCTTGTGGTCGACACAGAAATACCGATCACATAGAAGACATTGCTGGTTTGGGGGATTGTCTTTAAGGTGTGGCTTCTTCAATCGCATTCTGTTATGGACGTGGCAGGGTCCAACATGAATTTGGTTCTGGGGAGTTTGTTAGCCTACTGAATTAAAATATACGTTGGTGCGAGGTAGAGACCCGGGCCATTTTGTAGTTTTCGATGGAGGTTGTGTTGAAGGGGTCTGAAGGCAGGGCTCGGAGGAGCGAGTAATAGAAGATAGAAAAGGGTAAAAAAGAGAAGAGAGGAGGGAGGTTGGCTTGATATGTAATTGAGGAGGGGTACAGTAATACTAGCTGTTTAGGTAGACTCAGAATAGATACTGCTGCACTGCATGAGCTCTGACTCGACGCGTGCTGCAAATATTGGCACTGGGCACTAGTTCGTAAGGAATTGATTCTTCCTGACGGATATAAAAAATAGCTCATTTGTTACTGCCCCAAAACGACCACATACAGCAGGGCGGGGGTTTGACCAACCTGAAGTTCTCTGGGAAGAAGAGGTCGTTGGCTTGCTGAGGGGTGCATCCCTGTTTCCATAGAGGGAATTCGGGAGGCGTCTTCTCCGTGGGGAGTGAAATATCCCAGTTCAGTGCTACCCAGGTTTTATCGTAGAATGATCTACAGAGGAAATAAAGCATGACTTAGTGATGCACCTGTTCCATATGAATACCCAAAGGCTCCAGGAAACTCTTCCTAGTAAAGCCAGTTTTTCCATCAGCACCAACCGAATTTACGCATGCCTGGTATCTCATTTAGCAAAGGCAGACAAAATATTCCAGACGATCCTTACAAGTGCCAATGTCAGACTAAATCTGGTCATAGATGCCAATATCCTGTAGCATCCGAATGCCATCCTCGTCTAGCGCAATCCCTCGCGGATCAGTGGGGACAATGTGCGGAGTGGACATATGCCCGAGATACGCAGACAACATTGCCCCAGTTGGGTCACAGCCACAGATGACCACATCGGTAGTCAAATACTCGTCATTGACCATTTTACTGCTTTGTTGTGTATCCAAACACAAAGTAGTAACTATTTCAGTCCTACAGGTAAACATTGTAAAAGAACTCGGCTGGGTTAACAGTTTTGTTGTTCTGTTATACATTAATAGTGTGACGTCCGTTCAAATGAGTTACATCTCATATGTGGATGTTATCCGTATTTCCGGATAAACCCACTTGTGGAGGCTGGGGAATGTCCCGGGAAAGGTGTGGGGATGCGGAGACATCTGGGGGAACTTGGCTTTGAGGGGTCATGTGGGACAGAGTCACGCGTCAGATTAGGCATGTAAACCAGAAAGAGAATATAAAATGTCAATTTGTAGTTATAAACTTCCCAGACCAGGCTAAGGCCAGACAGATTGGACGCAAATAATAAACATGGTATGTCTTATTCACTTTTAGATTTCACCACTAACCCAGTGCACTAGACAATCCAAGCAAACCACGGTGCCTCTATCGCGGACATTATCGCGATCGGACCTGATTCTGAAGGTGTAGAGGCATGGCGTGAGAGATGCGGAATCAAGACGGACTCTCAGATCCGTCTAGTTAAGCTGGCACATATGCGCTACCAACACCCCGATCTAGACGAGATCACTATCTTCCTCGAAGGTATTCCACTTGTTCCTGTTTGACTTGGATATCCCCATTAAATCCTCTATAGATTTTGGCATGATTATTGCGAAGAAGACTGATGATGAAATCTGGTATCGGGGCTATGGAGTGGACCCCTATGTTTACTATGCGAAGAAAGGACCGAAGAAGTTCCTCGGCGGTGCCTTTGAAGTTGAATCTTACCAAGATCTCGAGAAGTGAGTCATATCAAAAATACATCGAAGATAAAAGAAAATCAATGGTTTAACGCTAATCCTCTTTAGGGCAACAAAGCTACCGACAGCCGGCGAGATACAGGAGCTCACAGATGCCCCAGGTGGAGGCTACATAGTGACTGTGGAAGACCCCGAAGGATTTGCGATAAACTTATTCTGCGGGCAAACGCTAGCTACCCCTAGGTCATATCAAGAAAAGCTCGAGATCAACTATGAGATTGAGAAACCAAGAGCGCGTAGGTTCCAGCGGTTCCAACCCGGTCCTGCCGGAGTTCATAAGGTAAGCCGTATCGTTCCCCGGGGCCGTCCTTCTCGCCGTTCTATTTGAAGACACTAATAAGTCCTCCAGCTCGGCCACTACGGCGTCTGCACTACACAGTTCGAAGCCCTCGTCGACTTCTACACGAAGAATTTCAATATCGTCCCAACAGATTTTCTCTACGTCGAGGTAGAAGGAATCAAAAAGAACGTCGCACTATTTGCCCACATTGACCGCGGCGATCAGCACGTTGACCACCATTCATTCTTTATAAGCTCAAACCTAACTACCCACGTACACCACTGCTCATTCGAAGTCCATGACTTCGATACACAAAAGCTGGGCCACCAATGGCTCGCAAAGAAAAATTACAAGTCTGTCTGGGGAGTTGGTCGGCATATTCTTGGTAGCCAGATCTTCGACTACTGGTGGGATACTACAGGGAACATGATTGAGCATTATGCTGATGGGGATTTGGTGAATGACCAAACTCCGATAGGGTATGGACCTGCGGGTGATGAGTCTTTGGCTGTCTGGGGGCCAGAAGTGCCATCTTGGTTCTTGCACTGATATATTTTTGGAATTATGTTATTACTTCGAATGTTTTGCATCTTTCGAATTTCTGTATGCTGTATTCAATATCTGCTGTGAGTTTAAAACAATAAGAGTTCCGAGCCGCCTTCCTTGGGTTCTCTCTGCAACACACAATTTCGTTGACTACCTAAAGCTTTTACAATATATCAATGAAGCAAACACAGGAAGATGGGTTGAGCATGTGTATGTAAAGGTAACTCTATAATGCATGATTTACCGACTCTCATAACGGACTTTGTTAACAAGTGTGCCGATCTGATCAATTTTCACAGAAATCTCATCGCCATCCTTGAGAACCACTCTTGGCTCCCGGAAGTATCCAATGCCCGCAGGTGTTCCAGTCAGAAACAGTGTCCCAGCCTCCAGTGTGGTACCCTGCGAGAGATATGAGATCTGTTGCTTGATGCTGAAAATCATATCCTTAGTCTGTCCATCTTGAACGATAGTGCCGTTATGGATGGCCTTGATTGACAGGGCTTGGGGGTCTACAATTACAGAAGGTGCTACCAGGACGGGACCTATTGTTGCCACTGACATTAGCAAAAACCTATGTGAAGAGCCACGTCAATGCTTACCAATAGGACAGCTTCCGTCGAGCCCCTTAGAGAAAGACCACTGCGCTGTGGCAAACTGTAGAGTGCGAGCAGAGACATCATTGGATGCAGCATAACCCAAAACATAGTCAAGAGCTTCCTCTTCGGGGATATCTCTACCAGTCTTTGCAATTACCAGACACAACTCGGCCTCGTAGTCACTGGTTTCATCCTGTGCACACTTGGGGATGTTGATAGTGGCCGGATAAGGGCCAGCAAGGGCAGTGCGGGGCTTAGTGAAAAGAATTGGCGCTTTGGGGAGTGGCATATTGGCTTCCTGTGCGTGGTCCATGTAGTTGAGCCCTAGACAACGGATGTAGCTGCATTGCTCTTGTGTGATAGGCGCAAGCAGCTGTAATTAATGTAAGTATAAGCGAAGGATCAAGTACATTATGAAGGAGTACCTGCCTGTTTCACATGCAAGATGTCTTCGGTAACACGCCCATCAAAGATAGTACCCTCAATGACCTTGACGGCGATATCCACTCCGTCGACACTATCGCGTCCAACATCGCGGGTCGTATCGATCAATTGGCCGAGGTGAACTTGGCTGTCCTCGACAGCGATGAAACGAACAAGGTGCGTCCAGGAAGGCATTTTGGGTGATAGGGATACTCAATTAAAAAAGAACAGTGATTTAAGTAGGTCCGATCGATGTAGAATTCATATTTAAGGCATGGCTTCGGGGTATATGGGGTGTGGGGTTGCAAAGCATAATCTTTGGCGCGTGTGGGACACTTCTTTGTGTACTTCTTAATGTCAAATGTCCCGCATTATCACCGTAAATCCGAGGTGGGATAGATTGGAACCGGTGGGTGGTCTTGGCACGGCTATAAATTTTCACCACGGGACAGTGGATGTTGGAATTGAGGGCAACATGGCAAATATCTGGCACTACAACAGTGGTATTCTTTGTGGTTAAGTTTCACTAATAAAAGAATAGTTAGCCGCTTATGTTTTCTTTTGATGTCTTTTGGTCTTTACAAATCTGCCAATAGAGACCGCCTTAATGGGGTCCCAATCACGGGACCCCACAGTGGGTCCGCTTCTGTGAGCTCCGCATCTACGACAGGCTGCGTCCCATCCAGGGCGTCAGCGTCCCACTCCATCTAGGAAGCATTGATCTGACTCATCCGTACAGCTACGAGGGAATTTGTTATCTTACACATATGATACTATTGAGCCCCGGTGGCCAGTACCTAGGCGAAGTTCTTACAGATTCGAACCAGGAAGCGATGACAGCTAAGACGAAGGAATCACTCTCGGCAATGCATCTTCTAGGAGTCCTACATCGGGATGAAGCCGTCCGGAACCTATTCTACAAATTTGAGAGTCAGAATGTGGTCGTCTTGGATTTTGAATGGGCCGAGATTCTCGAACCGCGTCCTGCTCCTAGGCTCTTATTGCCCAATTGAAACCGCCGGCACGCTTCCAATCCGCGTGTGGACAAGAAGGTTGTCGAGACTGCGTTCATGCAGGAGCTCAACGCAGCGCTATAACATGTGCAGGCAGCGCTATAACATGTGCAGTGTGTTGATCCTTAATTCAGGATATATGATACAAAGTTACAACCTGATGCTCCACACTAGCGGGTCTAGTGTTGAAGTTTGTCTTTATGTTTTCTGCCTCCTTTTTTTATATCTGACATTTTACATACACCCATAAATAGCATTAGACTGATGAAATAATGAATTGCCCTCTTTGGGGCTGAAATTACTCAAACGCAGATTTCTACAAACTAACTTCTCAAGATATGTATACCTTCTGAGATTGATGATTGCTTAAACTCTAAATTATATACATACGACAACCGGCTGCAAGTTGTCTCTACACAAGACTATCTCTCGACCATATATAGAACTTGTGTATCCGGGGAAACTTTCTAGCCTCGGGATGACATCATTATAGTCGGGAGCGACGGGCCTACCGAGCCGCCATGTGGCAGAATTCTCCACATTCGAGCTTTATAGCCTGTTTGTTCGTGACATAGCCGTGACCGGACTCCATGAAAATGGCCCAGGGTGCTGATCAGAAACCGACCCTCGCCGAAAGAGTGAAGTCCTTCAGAAATATCGACGACCAAACATGGCCGCTTATAATCTTGGCGGAATTGGACAACCCGAGCAGGGACGAGCTCGTGCAGCGATTGCGCCCCGATGAGCGAGTCGCTGCACACTCTTCGATGCGAGGGAAGCCTCCAACACAACCAACCCCCTCGACTAGGGGGAACAATGTTCAAACATTCACACCATCCATATCCCTGCTTGCATCCATGGCTCGACAAGGCTCACATCGGGATAGCCAAGCCAACTTGTATGCTCTTGCGATCCTTGCGTACCAGTCAGGCCACTCCAAATTCTTAGTTGCAGATGAGCTTTCCAAAAGACAATTGACCGGAAAGCTCCGCCCAGGCGAAGAATCAACGCTGTCGGCGATTTTAATCTCACTGAACGAAAAGCCATCCACTCCAGACGGTATTTCCGTTTGGGCGCGGCGAGAGAACTGCACGGGTCAGCACATTTCCCAGATGTTTGCAAAATTTGAACACAAATGGAAATCCATGCCAGTCACAGATGATGCAAAGCCCCACCGTCGTGGCTATCTATCCGAAAGATCGATATGGGAAAGGCCGGGACTCGAGATCCATGACCCTGATCGCCCGGTACTTTCGACTGATGTAAAAACCACGCTTGGATGGGAATCCCATTTGGAGGCTATGGTTGCAGCTCTTTCTAGGCTCCCAGTTGAAGTGGCAACCGACATCGTCTCCCGCATAGGAGATGCACAATGTCTTCAACATACGTTGTGGAAGGACTTTCCTTGTGAAGAGCATCTCGTCATATTCCTCCTATTTCACGCAACCCCTGACCAAATCTGCCAGACTACCTCATTTATCTGTGAGGCTGTCAGAAAGGAAAGCGTAATGTTCAAGTCAAGTGAAACCGACGGAAGCGAGCTTGGCGAGCCAAGGGAGCCAAATATGACATTTGAGCTAATACCATGGGATCAACATGGGATCAGATCCCGCCGAGACTTGGTGGTCTTTTGGTTGTCTTATTATCAACCCCATGCCTTGCAATTCTGCGAGAGATCCCCATTTTTGCATTTGTTGCTTGAGCCTATCTCAGATGTTTCAGCGCCATCTTTTGTGGAGGTCTCATCTAACAACAAGTCAGTTGGGATCGCATCACGAACAACGCTAGATATACTGATCAAAGCGGGGATGAAAAGCGAGCCCACGTCGGACAGGTCTCACGATTCTTATCCGATTATTGAAGAGGAGAACCTATGCCATCCAGATCAGCCATTCTGCTATAGCTTTCCTGAGTGGCAAACAGCATCACTCTATCGAAATGATTGGCTGCCCGCATTCTATCTCACAAATCATCTTATCAAAGATCAAGATCGGGAGATTCGAGCCGAGATCAAAACCTTTGACGGTGGGCTGGATGAATACCACGAGACAGGAGACAAGAACTGTGGATTCATTCCATGGAAGACCGGGAAAGCTGGCGAGCTAGACGGTACTGTCCAGGACATCTGGGAGATTGCTCAGAAAGTCGACTCTGAGTCATTTGAAGGATACGATTGCGAGTTTATTTGCATTGACCAGAAGTCTGCAGTTGATATGAAGGTCATCTATGTGATATCAGATGACTTTGGCCTCAAAACAGGGCGCCGCAAGTGGGCTCAACTCAAGGATTTGCCTAATCCCCGAATGCATGGAATAACATTTGCTCGAATTCATGCTCGGGATGCGCATGTTCAATCTTGTGAAATGCCCCTCTTCACGAAAAGGGCGTATGAATACAAATTGCAGCACTTTATACGTCCGGACTTACGACCGCATGGTCGACTTAGATGGGGGTGTGACTATGTTGATGGAAATGGTAATCCTGTTCAGCTGAAGGATGATGTTAACCCAGAAGAGGAAGAGGACAGTCCTGTTGAGACAGACGAAGAAGATGATGATGGCCCGGTCCACCCGGCGTTCCTTTTCGGTTAGCTCTTGGCATTTGATACATGTGCCTTCATCCAACTTCCCACATTCTAACGTCATAGCCCACAATGACTAGAACAATTTTGTACTGATTGAATTGATATGTCGTATATCGAACAATTTTTAATCGATTTATTATAGGCCCTCTTCTCTGGCATCTGGCTATATTTTTCCAGTACGGGGGAGCATATGGGAAGAGGCAGACCACTATGATCATGTCTTAGCTAGAACCTAGGGCTTAGCAGTCCCGAATGGCTAGCCAAGAACATTGGTCAAAATCTTCCTAACAACTGTCAGGGAAAGCTGCCCACGAGTCTGTCATCGGTTTTCATTTACCTAGCTTGTGAAACTCAAATGCCTTTCATATTTCGTACGCAATGAGCTTTTTAAAACAGTCACACACATAGCTTCTGTAGATCAGACATTTCCACCCGTGTGCCTAGAAGAAAAAAGAACAGCAAAAATATAACATCGGATTAACTGACATATAAAGTTTATATCGAAGTCGTACGTCGTGGCCGAGGGCGTTGGTATCCAGTACTTGGGTGGCGCTGTGTTCATCTCCTACCTACCTTCGAGCTGCAATCATAAGAAGGAGATTAGTGAGAGATTCAGCACTCTTCGATATATTTCTATATATCAGATTCAAAGACAACTAGGTCCATCCATCACACAACAACATCTATACTCCCACACCGCCATGGCAGAATCAAGCTTGCGCCAAACCCCTTTAGGTCAAGCGCCCCAATGATTGCCAAACATCCAAACAATCCACGTAGATTGCAAGGGCAGCCCTACAAGCATCCCACAATCATAATCCTATCTGTTAGCCAGATCCAATCAAGGTATGTGGCTACATTCCGCCTGTTCCAAAGAGGCTGTCCGCGCCCAAATTTGCCATCAATTGCACCCCTTCTCCCCGCATTGCTCCGGGGGTCGCGCATACCCCGTGCTATTTGGGACATGATGTCAGCCCAATGGAGTTTACACGCGTTAGAGCTTAAGTCAATCCACTCGTATACTAACAAAATCCTTTGTATAGCATCCTCAAACTCTCCCCAAACCACCGCGTTCAACTTATTCACAATGTCTGTCGAAGGCGCCTCTGCATCGGTATGTTGATCGCAAGTGACGCCGCGGCTGCGCCATATCGATGCGCAATTATGCCGTGAAAAGAATCTGCGCTACCATCGCATTGTCACAAACAATACTGATAATTCTGCAGCCCATCCCCATCGAGGATCTACAGAAGATCACCGTTCAGGTACGCCACTTCCAAAATGCCCCGTGGATTAACCCCGCGCTAACGTTTCACCTCAGGCCTGCGAGAATGCCCTCGAGAAAAGCCAGGGCTACGAGCACGACAATGTCGGCACCTGGAACTCTCAGATTATCGTAAGTGCCAACACCCAACCAACAACTACTACCCCTACTGCGCATGATATAACACCGATGCTAACCATGTCCCGGACAGAACTCCGTCCTCAAGGCCCTGATCACCGCCACCGCACCCACCGAAGCCTCCAAGCCCCCTCCCTACCGCTTCACCGTGAACAGCACAATCGTGCAGCAGGGCGTGATTGACCCCTCTGTCGCTGCGGATGGCGCACTCAGCAACGCCGGCAAGCGTGGTATGCACTCTGCCTCTGGGGCTTTCTGGGATGTCAACCGCGACGGCATGTGGACTTTCAAGTACCCCGGTGCTGAGGAGCGGGGGTTGGATGTCGTTGTTTGTGTGACATGGTTTGCCGTCGTATAAGGACGGGGCTCATTCTTGGTTGGCCTGTTCTGTCATGAACATATCCATGGATGGCATAAAAGTCCATAAGCGGAGGTGGTGGCTTTGTCTATGAGATGTTCCTTGGACTTTTTATCGGATTTGCGTCACAAGCTTCATCTTTTTTTCATGTACTTGAACATTTGTTTTTAGTGCTCTGGGTATTTTCAGATCTGTTCTTTTCCTTTTTCGTGTGATTTGATTTCAGTTCGATCTGAGCGTGGTGTTGTATTTTCTTTTAGTTTATCGAGACTTGCCTGCGTTGTTCGAGAAATTGAATAGCCTTCTAATCGTGTATTCGACATGTTACCCTGGCAGGAATATATTGAGGAATCATCTGCAGATTTCAAGTCATTTCCCACTTTTTCTCCACCTAAAAAACCGAGAGGAGAGAGAAATATATATTTAAAATGACATTTGTGAAAAATATCCGAGAGAACTACCAAAACGACACCACGAGGCTGCATAAACGACCAACTATTTTTATGTAGCTTAGGTAGAGGAAGAAAACTTGGAATAAATGTTTGATGTTGTTATGGTATCTTGAATATGCAGTATCCTCTGTGGGATGAAAATAGGACGAGCAAAAAATCAATATAATCGAAGTACAAAGGTCTCCATTGACCAACCAGGAACACGCCGAATCACCAGAGAAAACATGAAAAACACCCATTACTTGCGCCATGCCATATGTAGATTACCCAGAATATAATTAACGCCAATAGGGACCCATTAATTCATGAAAATAAAACGCCGATTAGCTGAGGCAACTCAACTTTGCATCCCACCCCTAGCGAGGCTCGGAGTAGTCATTCAAAGCGACACAGACGGCACCGCGATGGTGGCCGCTATACTGGCGGATAATGTTACCAGTGCTAAGCTCCCACAGACGAGCGTAGTGATCGCTGGAGACAGTCACGAGGTAAGCGGAGTCTGCAGAGAAGGCGCAGTCCCAGACCCATCGCTGGTGATTAGCGAGGGTGGTCTCCAGGAACAGTGTGTGGTTGACTGGATCCATAGGAGGCCCGTCTGGGGATGAGGTGAATGTCTGCTGTGGTGTCTCTTGGCGAGGAGGGTTGTCGGTAATACGGAGAAGATCACGGTCTTGGATAGGTGCGTCGAAAATGCGGAGCAGATCCCGAGACGGGGCGGGAACCTCGACAGGGACTATCGGAGCTTCAACCGGTGTTTCAACTGGAGGGTTCAATGCCTCTTTCTCCTTCCATTGCTTCAATGCCAGTTTGGCAGGCGGGAATTCGGCGTCTAGGTTCCAAACCTTCGCAGTATGATCTGCAGAGCAGGTCGCAAGGTGCTTGACATCGGGAGAGAGGAGCACACGAGTGAGGTAGTCCTTGTGAGCTTGGAAGGTACAGACGGGGATGATGCGTGTGGTTTCGTCGGTTTGTACCATGCGCCACAAGTAGACATTGCCCTGTTTAGATATTAGTAGAGAAGCATACAATTCTCCGTAAATCCAAGATCACGCACCTTCTTGTTTCCAGCGCAAAGCAATGATCCATCACTGGCAACGCTGACACTGAGGACCGCGGTGTCCTCCTCCGGAATCAATTGATGAGTACAGACGCTCTCGCCCAAGTCCCAGACACGGACCATACCGGAATGGTCACCACTGATGAGCTCACCCTGGTTGGGATGAATGACCACATCATTGACCGCAGCCCGGTGGACATAATTCCGCTGCAAGCTACCGGTACGTGTATCCCAGACCTTCACAGTTCCGTCCTCAGAACTGGTAACCATCCATTTCCCTTCGCAGTGAAATGCCACACCGGTGATGTTGTTCGTGTGACCTTCAAAGGTAATCACGGGATTAGGATTGGTTGATTTGATATCAAAGAGCTTGACATTGTTGTGGCCTGCGGCAGCCAAGAACCTCTTATCCGGGGTAATGCAGAGACGATTGACTTGCGAGTCTGGATGCTGGATTGTACGCGAACAGATACCCGAGAGCGCTTCCCAAAAGCTAACAGAGAAAGGGTCAGCCAGAGTCTGGTACAAATTGCCACTCTGCAGGTGCTGGAAAAACGCTGCCGGCGGCTAGTTGAGCCTCAACTTACCGAATGGTATGGTCATACCCCGCTAAAATATGCAACCAAGGTAATTAGCTCAATGCCTGTCAGAATGCGGGGAGCTCATTGTGATGCTCCACGTACCGGTACATAGAATGACACTCATATTCGCCAGGGCTGAGGCCAAGGAAGTGTAGTGGGAGAAATGACCGGTCTTTGTAATATCCTCGTTTTGGGAACCACTGGAGTCCCTTGAGGCGTTAGGGGAGCTGGCAAGTCGAGACGGCCCAGGCCGAACGTCGGATGGAGTCCCGTTTTCTGCCATTACAACCACGTGATTCTAGGCCCACGTGAGGAGAGCGGTGTCTCTCTGACGATAAGTCGATAAGGTGAGGGCGGTGGGAAGATAAGATAGATCAAGGTACTTAAAGGATAGGCGGTGAAGTAGGTGAACAAAACTACTTAGGCGCAATTACAAGTAATTGCTTGTCTAATAAGATCTGTTTATGATTTTATAGATGAGTTACTAGCTTGATTTAGCAATTTCTTTCTATTGAACGTTTAATCGAACATCCTTTTGTCCTGTCCAACTTGTTTAACCTCGAGCTTCATGCTAGATTGGGCGGTGCATTCAGCGGTGAGGTACACGTTGGGTTATGACGTATGATTGGCCAGCATAAATTCTAATTACTGGCAAAATAATCGATTGGCCGGCAGAAAAAAACATCCCAATATAGTCGAGTACATCTTGCGTTTGTCGTCTCTATTGATTCCTATTGATCCCTATTGATGGATTTAATACAATAGCAATGTTCCTTTCTTTGTTCTTGCTTGCTTCCTTTGTTCCCATCTATGAGCCCTAATCCTTTCCTGGACGGTTATTGCCATCCCAACTCGACTCTCTTCCTTCGATCTCTTCTTCCTTTCCACACCATCTCGTCCCTTCTGCAACCTTTTCATCTCTTCTCATCCTATTTGTCTGGTCCAATTTTAATACCCCTTCTCAATCAATATGGATCCAATTAACCATACCCACCCTGCCTTTGGGTTTGACCAATCTGCTTTCGACTCCCAGGCTTTCCATGACTTTGCCAACCTGGATGCTGGCGGGCCTTTCAATACTGCAAATGGGTTCACCTATGAGAAAATTGATTCTATGGTCAGCTTTGACGAGTGCTATGCCAGTATACCTCTCGATGGCCTCGATCAGTCTAGCTCTGACAACGTCCCTATGTTGGGAGCCTTCAACTCTGGCCAGCCCTATTTTAATGCGCCGCTCACACAGTCAGCATTGAACGTCTTCAATCAATATCTTACAGACACTGCTGTCAATGGCGCTGCCCAGCTCAGTGAAACCGCATCTTCCAATGGCTCTGGACAAGCCGCGTTGTCGGCTTCCGCCAGTTTCGACAGTCCCAATTCAACCATTCATGTCAATGACACTCACCAGCTCAGTGGTACCGCCTCTCACAATGGATCTGGCCAGACTGCACTGCCAGCTTTACCTGGCTATGATAAGCCCCGTCCAATCGCACCCCTCAACCGCTCTGCCCAGCCAGCATCCAACAATCTCCCCCTGCATGCACCGCACAGGCAGGTGCCCTACGACCTCTCGATCGGGACTCCGTACACACTAGAGGACAACGATTCCGACAAGATCCGAAAGTGGGAGAACCTTATCGCCCATGCCGATCTGGCCAATGCTGGCGTGCCTGCCTCTGCTTCTCAGATCATTGAAGAAGAGAGCGCTGGACAAAGCCCACAGACTGCGAGCTCATCCAACTCTCTGTTTGACGACGGTCCTCGCTCCCCGTCCGTCGAGATTGTTCAGACTCCCAGCCCCACTCCGTCGACTCCCTCACCTTCCCAAGCTCCTGCACCCACAATAGCACCTTCGAAGGCCGCGAACAATGTGGCTGTAAGTCCCGACTGATGATTAACTCGCCGATTTTAGGAAATTATGCTAACCGTGTTCAACAGGCACGCGCCACTCCTCAACCTGTGCAGCTGCCACGTGCCTTGACACACCAGAAGAATTATGCCCAGCATGTGTCTCCCTTCGCCCCTGTCGCAACAGTTTCCCCCCTGCCCCCTCTGCCCCAACTTCTCGGGAGCTGGAGAACGCTCGCTCCCGGATCCAGAGCCTCGCGAAAGAACGAAACTATTACCAACGCAGTTTGCGTAAGGCGACTAGTGTGGACCCCAAGACAGGCAAAAACACACTCCAAATCCTACAGACCCAGAACACAGCTCTTCGCCGCGCCAATGCTAAGCACTTGGAGGATATGAAGGTTATGGACGAGATGTTGAAAGAGGGACGCCGCCAGTATGCCCTCCTGGGCGATCGATTTAACGAGCTGGCTAAAGACATGCATAAGGCGCAGCTTGAGCTAAACCAGCTCAGAAAGTAGCAGATGGTTGGGCATTCGCAGGGAGTCAAATCTTCTTAGGCAATGCTCAGCCGCTTGCAGCAAAACAATCAAATCGTTCTTCAATGTCAGTTCACTGAGCTACAATAACACCAGGCATACGTAGTTTGATCAGTCTGGAATCTAGTAACTAATGGCCTGTCAATATAAGTATATCCTCCTAGGTCTGTCATCGCCTTTGTCTGCCTAGGATCAACATAATGCTGCAAACGCGATGCAGACAATTGGTGCTAGTAGTTGACCTCGAGACTCAGACCAATTGCAAGTAAGAGTTGAGTCATAATAAAGTAATGATAGTTACGCAAGTGCGTAAGCTCTGAGAAGTTTAGTTTTGTTTATAATAGTTGTTCCCATTCCCATCAGGGCAATAACAACATCTAGCATCTGACACAATAAAATGGATATTGAACACTATGCTCTAGCCTTGCATAAGATAAGGCTAGCAGAGCCCTTAGCTATGTGCTTTGTAGAGAAAGCAGCCGTGGCAGCCAATAATGCAGAAGCGGCAGATATTGGTTGGTTAGCTGGAAAGAGCATGATTCATATTATCGACATTTTATCACTAGAAGGGTTCGGTAAACTCTCTAGCTACATAGTATATGCGTATGTTGATATACAATATCATTCCTGAGACATGATCCCTCTTCACTTTCTCTCACATCCGATCCCTTGATTCCCCCTGGCCACTCGTTTCTCTCTCAGCACTCATTCTACTCCTACTCCCTCTCACCGCTCCTCCCCCTCTTCACACTTCCAAAACTTCTGCCACGGTGACGACTTCTATAAGATTGCTTGGAATCTGCTTGTAAGCATCAATGAAGGTTTTGTTCGTTTCTACCAAAAAACCGCGCTAATTCTAAGTTTGTCTTCAATAGCCTATCGGGCACCTTTCTGCACACTGTGCTGCCCTAATCGCCTACATGCGTCCGCCCTTCGCCATACTCGACCTCGCATCGATAGCCTTGCAAGAGAACACAATTATGACCAACCCACCTTGCGTAATGCAACTAGCGCCGATCTCAAGTCTGGTAAGATCATTCTCCAGATGCTCCAGACAGAGAATGGAGCCCTTCGTCGGGTCAAGGCCAAGCAAGCACGCGAATTGCGGGAGTTGAAGGAGCAGGCTCAGCGCCAATGGGCCCAGTATGTCTCCCTTGGGGATCAGTGCAACGATCTAGCCAAGCAACTGTACCGTACCCTGATTGAACTTAAGGAATTGAAGGGCGAGTGGTATTTCTACCGAATGTTCAAAGGCTACGAGCCAGATCAATGTGATTCAAATCATCTTCGACATCCATATTAAGGGCTAATTTTGCACACAAGCATATATAGTCAGACCCACATGGCAATCTAGAGCCACCACCCTACGTCAATGGTTTCTTCCAAGTATTTTTTCTTGAATTGAGGCTTCCGCCCGGTCGAAGATGCTAATAGTTGACTTGAACTGCACGGGGTAAGGATAGAGAAGCAAGCGCCCGAGAAAGGTTTAACCACCATAATTCAAGATTAGTAGCACTACTCGCTATTCTTGTATTCTGTTACCCTCGCATGTAGACGAATGGTGAAGTATATTGTCAAGACCTACTAATCATCGGAAATATATCCAAGAGATATTCAACTTGTTATTATTAGGTTTGCAAGTAGTTCATGCAGATTGGTTACGGGCATAGCTATAGTCATAGGAGTAACTTGACCGTTGACTTGGAATTGACATATTTAATTTAGCGATCAAATTAAGCTTCACTAGCAAGATTAGAGCGTTGCATAAAATCATGTTCAATGCATAAGATTCCCGATCCGGCAATAAGTGGAGCATTTTCTCGAAAAATCTGTTCCCGCTTATATCGCACATTTGGGCAAAATCTCTCAATAACAAGGCCGGCTGGCCCAATGGCAAGGCGCTTGACTACGAATCAAGAGATTGCAGGTTCGATCCCTGCGTCGGTCAATCTTTTTGCTTTTCTTGCTTTCTACGACCCGCTAGTCAATCTACGTCATACCTACATAAAGCTCCGACTTCGGGGGTCAATGTTGTGACTATTTCCAGCATATATAAAGGTTGTTTGAGATGTGCTTTAGATTTTGATATTTTAAACTTTCAACTCGGACCTCGCAGGAGCCTAAGACTTATGTAACATCGTTGGTATAATTTGAAAGATATCAAACCTAATATCTTGCGGCCTGGAATTGATGGTATTAAAAAGTCATAAGACTGGATGGAATGTACAACATATCCCTTACTTCAATCGACACAGGGCATCCGATTTCAAGCGAGCAAACCACACAGCGTCAAACATGACGACATAGCCTGCAGAATTCGAAGACACCAATGGAGGAACTTCGGGTATACCAAAACAAGGCACAGCATGGTTAGATCTGGTTCGTCCAGATAGAGCCATAAAAACTGGGATGACCCGGGAGCCATATATGTCAGCGGCGTTATTAAAGCAGAAAAAATGCTTCTTAAAATCACATCAAGTGGGTCTGTGCTCAGAGTGGATGCAAGGGACACCAATCAACATTCACCGTCCCGACCGGGTTCCCGATGTGGATGTCGGATCTTGGACTTCGGCATGCCGGTTTACTCGGTTCGGTTCGGATTTAGGTATTTACCACCTGGGAAGCTCTAGACGTTCCAGGGTTCTATAATAATTATGTAAGGATCTATCGCCGCCCGGGCCATCCGTTCCGATTGTGCTTCCTGTTTATATTCGTGCTTTGCCCTTTCTTTTTCTTTTGACAGGTTTGACATTTCAACCCGTTGAGGAAAGGGAAGATATAGCAGTTTGATCGTCATGGCGGATCAAGACGAGATTCGAGGCAATTCGGTCTATCAGGTTGAACACCCTGTTACCGAAACACCCTCACCGGCTGAGAAGCCTGTTGCTATGAAGGAACAGAAGAAGACCGGTTTGATGGCCAAGTCAGTATCCCATACCCCATACTTACCTCATCCTTCATGTTTCCCATTTGCATTCTAGAATATGGAAATAGTATTAACATGCTCACAGAATCGGAAGAATGCTAAACCAGGATATCCGCGAGGAAATGCCTGCATACAAAGATATCGAAATCCACACCTGGGACGGACCCGACGACCCCGATAACCCATTCAACTGGAGCCTCAAATACAAATGGCTGCTCACACTCACCGTGTGCTTCGTGTAAGATATGTCTTTCAACTACACATATATCCTTAGACCATCAACTAACAACCCCACCAGCTCCATCTTGACTGGTCTTCCCGCAGGAACCTATGGCTCCGGAAACGACTGGATGGCGAAAGAATTCCACGTCCAGAATGATCCTTTCCCAAACCTATACTGGGCTACCACCTCCTGGAATATGGGTGCTGCTTTCTGGCCATTGATCTTCGTCCCTCTAACTGAGGCCTCCGGCCGTATGCCAGGATACTTTGTTGCATACATTATCCTCGTGATCTCCCTCTTCCCGTCCGCGTTCGCAAAGAACTTCGCGACTCTCGTCGTGACGAGGTTCTTTGGTGGCGGTGCTTCTTCCGTCTCGATTAATATCGTCGGTGGAAGTATCTCCGATGTGTGGCTTGGTGATCACGCTCGCAGTCTGCCGATGTCCATCTTCGGATTTACGAGTGTTGTGGGTATTGCACTTGGTCCGTTTATTGGGTCTGCTATTGTGCAGATTCAGAAATCACAACCGTGGCGTTGGTAAGAACAACCCTTTTCTTTCCTAATATATATATATCTGCGAGTTGTCCAAAAAAAGAACAAGAGCCCGTCATACTAACCACCTTCTCTATAGGATCTTCTACATCCAAATCATCTACAACGCAGCCCTAATCCCCGTCTTTTGGATCATCCTCCGCGAAACCCGCCCAGATGTGATTCTCAAGAGACGCGCACGCAAGATCCGCAAAGAAACCAACCGCCCGGTCTACGCCGCTTCCGAAATCGACGCACCAAGCAAACTGCGTCTGCTTAAAATCTCCTTCCAACGGCCGACAAACATGCTTCTCACCGAGCCAGTCGTGATCTTCTTCACTCTATGGATCAGTTTCGCCTGGGGAATCCTCTACCTCTTCTTCTCCAGCGTCGTGCAAACCTACTCAACAAATTACGGCTGGGGCACGATGTCAACAGGCCTAGTCCAGCTCGCCATCTCGGTTGGCGCGATCATCGGAACAGCCATCAACCCGTTACAGGATTGGTTCTACCTCCGCTCTGAGCGACGCAATACAGAGAGACCCGGTAAACCCATCCCTGAGGCCAGACTGTACACGTCTATCCCAGGCAGTTTGCTCTTTGCGGGTGGTCTATTCTGGTATGGCTGGGCCAGTCAGCCTGATATCCACTGGATCGTCCCGACTATTGGTATCACGGCTGCGGGTATTGGAATTTATTCCATTTATATGGCTGTTGTTAATTACCTGACTGATGCTTATGAGCGTTATGCGGCGTCGGCTTTGTCTGCTGCTTCCCTTGGAAGAAATGCTTTTGGTGCATTCTTGCCGCTTGCTTCGCCACAGTTGTTTAGCAATCTTGGATTTGGCTGGGCTGGAACTTTGCTAGGGTTTATTGGAGTTGCGCTGTCTGTTGTTCCTGTTGTCCTGGTTTGGAAGGGAAAGCAGATTCGGGAGAGGAGTACCTTTATGAGGGAGGCTATGTGGGAGCCTGAGGAGAAGGTTGAGATTGATCGGACTGGGAAGGAGAGTTCGGGACATAATGAGGGAGTCGTGTGAGATTCAATATGTTGGGGTGTCCTTTTGCGCTGCATTGCATTGCACGGTTGTTTATTTTGTTCTACTTGTTTTGTACTTCTAGTATGCATAAAAATTACATCGATTATCATACTTCAATAAATATTATTCTCTATACTCCGATATATATGGATTGGCAAGAAAGTTGATATCTTCAGAGGTGATCATATGTAGATCAACAACACTCTGAGAGAAGAGGTAAAAGTAGAAAAGGAATCTTGTTGTGGCAATAGAATATCATCATGCTATGGGGTTGAAAGCGCCGTATTTGATGGTATTGGGGGGTTTACCCTCTGATTGAAATGCATGAAAATGTATGAGAACTTAATCTTTAAAACAAGATATCACAAAGTCCGTAATGGTCTTCGTTGTTCCACTCGGAGGTCTCGCTGCCGCAAAGTCCATCAAAGGTCCATCGTGAGCTTCATTCGCCATGTGCAGCGTCACTTTCCCTTTACTATTCCTCTTCAGCATCTCGCCCAACTGCTGTACGTGGTTGCTGAAAACCTCTTCGTAGCCACCTGTCACAAGAATACCTTGGACAGCCTCAAAGCCCTCCCACCAGCTTTCAGGAACATCCAGGGCCATTGCCCAGCCATTACCAGCAGAGATCTCCTGCTGCCAGGGAGAATATCCCACAAGGTGCATACCCCATTTCTTCACAACATTTTGGCTTAAAATATCAGCACTGAACCATCTCTTGTAGGAGGGGGTACAGAAGTTGAATGATGATAATGGTGATACAAGGAAGCATCCTTTCACTGGTTCATCTTGGTCAATTACACTCTCTGCTGCCAGTTCAGAGGGACGATGGCGATGCAGATGAGCCAAGATGCTTAGGGACAGGTGTCCTCCTGCCGAATCTCCTCCGAAGACAATCTAAAGGAACCGAGGTTAGCTTTATGATTAGAAAAGCTGGCCCCCAGCAAACATACGTCCGATGGTCTGCATCCAGAGGCAATGAGATGCTTAAGTGCAAAGATTCCCTGCACCATCTGCCTTGGATACGGGTTGGCGGGTACCAGGCCTGCGCCGTCAGTATACGCCGTGTCATTTCCGTCAATATCGTGCCACGAACCATATTCGAGAATGCAAACACTGAGTTCAATCCCATAATCGGCCGCCTCGTTTCTGACATGCCCCATCCAGTCCAGGTGTCCGTCAGAAAGGGGCATCACATAGCCTCCGCCTAGGGGGGTTAGCAATGTTCTTGCAAGACAATCCTTGATCATACCGTGGAAGAAAAGAACCACCTTGTTCGCTTTCTTTGTTCCAATCCATAACAGCCGAGTTGAATTGTCGGCAGACAAAACATCCACCCGGGGGTTGTCCCCATGAGCTAGCGTCCATGCATTATATGTGTCGAAAGTGGATGGTAGAATTGCCTGAAGCTGGGCAGGTGGGATGGTGACCATCATAGAGCCGGCAAATGCATTCCAGATGGCCGGTCCTAGAGGCAGGTTACTCAACCATGCGCGGATGATGGCCCCTGGAACCCTAAAAGCCGCGCGCGGCAAGACACCAAACACGAGGGTGAAGAGAAACCGTAATCTTAGGGAGGTCGATATTTGGCGCGTCATTTTGCGAATATTTCCTAGTATACAATGCGTGAAGACCAGGATCAAGCGCGTGTAATAAGTAGATCGCCCGTCCCGCCATCCCGGCTATAGGAGAAGCGACGACCTAGGTTTCCTGCGGGCATATCCAAGCTAAGACCAGCACCAGAGAATGTTTAGTTCTTGGTGGAAGAAGGGGCCCAGCAGTTCCCCGGGGTCACTAACGTCCGGAATCCACCCGGCTTAACCGAGTGCCGCCGGAATGGACCCGTCCCTACCTAGAATCACGCTCCACCACGTCCAATGACTGGTGTCTAATGTGACAAAAGTCCTCATTACTGGAGCCCACATCCCTGGGCCCCCACAAAATAGCAAAATGGGGTCATGGCGCAACCGGAACAGACCGTGTTATTTATGAACTCCTTGCTGCGCCCTGTGAGTTGAACATGGAGCTTCCCGGACAGATAGCCATATTGATTAGCTACAAGATATAATTTATCGTTTCCGGTGATCCTGCTAGTACAACGGATACTGCCCGTTGTTGCAAAATGCCCACGAAAGCTCCTGGGAACACAAAACGACGCACGGCACGCCGTAAGGTCGCTTTGGCCTGTGACTCGTGTCGGGGGAAGAAGATCCGCTGCGATGGAAACAAGCCCATCTGTGGACCTTGCATGCGACGGTCGTATCGCATCGATCAGTGTGTATACGATACGGAAAACGCCCGGAATGCCAGCAGGGACGAGTAGGTCTCTCGTGCATGCATGCGTTGTTAAGAGCAAGGAGCAAACTACTTCTAACGCGAGATAGATATTTACACACACTACATCAGCGAATCAAAGAACTTGAAGATGCCCGTTCGAAGGACGGCGTTTCCATCCAGACCCCGACAAATCCTCAAAGCCAGCTGCTCAGTGAAGCCAACAGGGAGGTCGGAATGCACGCGGAAGCAGCCGACTTCTCCACATGTGCTGGCCAATCCCATCTGGAGTCCGCGGCGCAGGATCCGACTCCTAGAAGCTCAGAAGTAGAGGTGCCAGCAGATAGCAGGCCAGCAGCCACTCCTTGTCCCTGCCACAACAGCCAGTCTGTGTTGACAGGAGAAGCGACTGCGCAGAGCTATGAATCGCCGTTATTCGATGAGGGTGAAGGTCACGTAACGGGTATGGGCCAGATCACAGCACCGGCGGCCGAAGGTCGACGTCGGTCGGCCCGATTCCAATTCTATGGTAGCTCCTCCACTGCCTCATTCATGCGATTTGCCTGGCAATCTATGCCTTCGCGGCCGATTAGCGGTTCGACTGCCCAACCTGTGTACAGTAGGCTCCAGGATACGTCCACCAAGTACAGGTTTGATGATTTTGCCCTGCCGCCGCGGATGCTAGCGGATCACCTCTTAAAGTGCTTCTTTGATAAGGTCTATATTTTGTATCCGTTCTTCCACCGTCCAGCTTTTGAAGCGGCCTATCGGAATCTCTGGCGGGCAGAGGACGAGTCTTGTCCACTGACAGACCTGCGTATTGGATTAGGATCCAGCTTTGAATCTGGTTCTCGATCAATTGTGTTTCATTGTGCCCTGAATTTGATGTTTGCCCTGGGCTGTCATTTTGCAGATATTGCCGCTGAGGAAGTCGAGCCTGCCGCGCATTCTTTCTTCCTCCGCGCGAAGGGTTTTATCGGACTCGATTTCCTAGATATCAACACGCTCGGCGTCGTTCAGACGTTACTTATCACGGCGCTATTCCTACAGAGCTCCCCATACCCCAGCCGATGCTGGAATTCTGTTGGAGTCGCATGTAGAGTTGCCCTAGGTTTAGGGCTTCACGAATCAGATACGCTCGCTACATTAACCCCTTTGGAATCTGACATCCGATGGCGAACATGGCATGGATGTGTGATGATGGACATGTAATGGCCAAAATTCTTGTGTTTACCGTCTCTCGCGCTAATCTTCACGCGCAGCACTCTGAGCATGACATACGGCAGGCCAAGCATGACCACCCATCTGGCCTCGCTCCCTCCACCGACCGACTTGGACAACTCCAGCGGTGAAGAACGAACCGGAGAGCCTAAAATAATGGAATTCTACAGGGAGGCTATTGAACTTTACGGTATTCTAGACAGAATCTTAGCAGATGTCTACAACCCTTGCCGCGGTCGGTCACCTCAACATCAATCGCAGCAGGCAACAAAAGGTCTCGGGGGGCTAGACACCGTCCTCGACATCGAGAGGCAACTTACCCTCTTCGAAGCCAATCTTCCTTGTGTCCTGAAATGGCCCGCTGGTCCATCTGCAGCGCATGCGGATGGAGAGCCAAACCTGGCTATCGCGCAACAGCGGAATGTTCTACATGCGAGGTGTGTTGCGTTGCATCCAATATCATTTCACAAGCTCCTTTCTTACCTTTCTGCATAGATACATCCATCTCCACCTTCTCCTCTACCGTCCTATCTTCACACAGCTTTACTCGGAAAGAGTACGAACTCGAGAGGCAGCAACCGGGCCAGAGCTGCAAGAGAGCTGGATATTCTCTGTAACCTCGCAGAGTACATTGTACTCCTCCATGTCCAGCAAATGCGCTACCTCCTGCGTGATGGCTGCCATTGATCTCACCCACCTAGTCCACGAGACTTACCAGACCAACGCCGCTGATGCATGGTGGTACAATGGATTTTGTATGCTGCCAATGAACTCCTTGCCCTCTAGGTCTGATACTGATTCTACACGGTCTAGACGTATCTACCGCTGCAATAGTCCTACTCATGTCATTCTCAATCCCATCAATATTAGAGCCATTTACTATGGACAAAGCGCGAGAAGCCTGGAGAGAGGCAACGTCGGTTTTAGAGTTCATGACTTCATTTAGCCGCTCAGCCAGCAACACCCTGCAATTTCTGCAGGCTGCGTACCGCCAGTCAGTGCCCGGCAGTCCGCAGCAGACAGTCCCAAGAGTCGATGCTTTGCAGCTTCCTGGTGAAAACTCCCAGTCCAACGATCCATTCGACCACCCGGATACAGACCCAGCCAAAACTCCGGTCTTCAACTGGGAAGAGTTCACTGCGAACATGGGGCCCAGTCTGGACGACTTAGGGTTCTTGACAAGGCTTCACTTTCCTGACACTTGGAATTCAGGGAGTACTTGTTATGGCTTTGATTAGTTTCATTTTCTTCTAGGGAAGTGAGATATGCCTAAAATCTAGTCTACTGCTTGAACTCTATCTACATACATCTCCACAACGCCCCAGTAACACAGACCACAAACATCAATTCCAGTCCCCCAACCTCCGAACACCATTCCAGACGTCAAAGCCGCCAAGAAGCTTCAGAGGAGGCCGAAGGGGTTTCGCCTTAGCTCAAATATCTCAGGTCCATTCATTCCGTGATCTTCACCTTCTTCACTTTGGCCCGATCCCATCCCACAAAATCAGACCCATGGATCCAGTCCATTAAGCCAATAGTGCCATAGTTGACACGAAACTTCTCGTGATGGAGATCATGTAGTTCCGCCGGTGGCAGTTTCAGAAAGTCATAGCCGCTATGGTCTGCTGCTGCTTCCCACAGCTCAAACAGGCCAAAGGCCATGATGGATAGGAAATGCGCCCCTTTGAAGTATAGCGGGATCGCAATCGGCAAAACATTGGCAAGAAGGTGTTCCACTGGATGCGCGTACTCGGCTGCAAAGGCGACGGGGGTGATGTATTTGTGGTGCATCTTGTGGATGTAGACGTAGATTCTAGGGTGATGGAGGGCACGGTGGACGTAGTAGAATGAAACTTCCCGCGCGAGCAGGCCAAAGACGAAATCCACGATGAATATCTTCAGAGAAGGCACGATCGGATCCATGTTTAGGATTGGGTGGTCGAAGCCTCGCAAGTAGAGTATGATATATTGTAGAGCCACGATCCAGATGTGGTTGAAGAGGGAGACCTTGATGCAATGCTGGATCTGCTGACGCGTTGGCTGGCGGCGGGCGCCTTGGATTTTATGGCGCTGTGAGAATTTCGGGAACAGAGTATCGATCAGCATGTAGATGGTTGCTGGGAGAATGAACCCGACGATCTGGGACAAGATGCTACCCATGATTTCGATGGTCCCTGGCTTGTGTGTGGTGATTATATGTGTCCAGACGGACTGTAGCTGTGCGTGCACATCCATGGCTGTTGTTGTTCTTTGGAAAGGTGTGATCCAAGCCTTCAAGGTCTGCAAACTGACATCGCTTTCCTTGAAGTCTCAGTCGTATTATAGCCCTGAATAAAAGTCAACACGGAACTCTTCCGGTACTCACAAGAGATGTAAATGTCAACAATACCGCGGTTGGCCTTTGTTCTAATGCCCGGAACGAACCCGAAGAATATGATCTGCATGGGGATACTCCCGGAGACTGGTCGAGGGGGCCACCTACTAGGCCTCGACCTATGCATGATCTGAATTTCCCCTCATGCTCTCCTTCTCCAAGGTATCTCGCGGGAGTCTATGCAAATGTCGTGCCTCGCTTCAGACGCCTCCTGTGCCACCGGATCGTTCCGATATAGCATGGCAAACGCCATAATTGATACTTAAGCCCACGCGAATCCCAAGTCAAGACAAAGGGGAGTAACTTATCTGTGAGCCTTTAATATCACCGCCGCTATGACCTCCAAGTCCTCCGACAGTCCCTCCTTCAGTCAGATTGTATGCGTTGGCGCCGGGCTATCAGCCGTCGCACTGGGCGCAACTTTAAAGAGGTGGTATGACCTTGACGACATTCAGTTCTTTGAAAGACACCCCACGACCGGTGGGACATGGTACATCAACACCTATCCAGGTCAGTAATTACCCACCTCCTTTGCGTCTCACTTGCTAAACGTACGTCTTGTAGGATGCGGCTGTGATGTCCCAAGTGCTCTATACAGCTTCTCTTTTGCCTTGAACCCTAATTGGACGAAGCTCATGCCGTCAAACAAGGAAATCAAAGAGTATGTCGACAACGTGGTGGATACCTACGACCTCCGACCAAAGATGTCTTTCGGGACGGAAGTTGTCCGCAGTGTCTGGCGAGAAGATGCAAACCGCTGGCTTCTCTACATGCGTGACCTGAACACTGGACAAGAATATACCCACGAGTGCCAAATTCTCTTCGCAGCCACAGGACAACTTGTCGAGCCGCGCCCGTGTGAGATTCTCGGCGAGTCGGATTTTGAAGGGAGCATCTTCCATTCAGCGCGGTGGGACCATAGCGTTGACCTCGAGGGGAAAGATGTTGTAGTCATTGGGAACGGATGTATGAGTCCTCCCCCTTGCCCAGTTTTAGCGGGAAATCTGACAGGCATTCAGGTACTGCCGCGCAGATTGTGCCAGCACTGGTCAATGAAGGAAAGATCAAGTCGCTCGCGCAGATTGTGCGCTCAAAGCACTGGATATTCCCAGTTCCGAACTTTGCCTACCCCCGGCTTCTGCAGTGGATCTTTCGCTATGTTCCATTAGCTATGAGATTGCATCGACTTCACATCTTCTTGATCGCCGAGAATGACTTTCGCTTGTTTCCGATGACCAAAAGCGCGGCTAGACTCAGGGAGAAGCGACGCAGGCAGGTGGAAAAGTACATGCGCGAGGCCGGTCCGGAAAAATACCACGACCTCCTCATTCCAGACTTTGATGTAGGATGCAAGGTGCGTCTCAATTTCTATTCTCAGGCTCTACCCTTTAGATACTGAACGGAAACCGATGCTAATTCGATACCCAGAGGCGAATCTTTGACCCTGGCTACCTTGACTCTCTCCACAGTGACAAGGTCCTCCTGACAGACGGGAAAACCAAGAAGATCACGGCAAAAGGGATTGAGACAGACAAAGGCTTTATCCCAGCGGACGTGATTATCCTCGCCACTGGGTTCCAAACCAACAAATTCAATCCCTACATGGATGTGGTCGGGCGCACCGGCCAGAATGTCTCACAGCACTGGTCAAAGTACGATGGCCCAGCTGCCTACAACTGCTCTGTGCTCAGTGGGTTTCCGAACTTCTTCATGCTCTTGGGCCCTAATGCTGCAACCGGGCATACATCGGCTGTGATGGCTGCAGAGAAGTCCGTTGCCAACGCTTGACCCCAATCAATATACGATCCTAACCATTTAAATAGTTCCATCAATTACGCCCTCCGTGTCCTGAAACCAGTCTTAGATGGCGACGCCGCTTCGGTCGAAGTAAAGGCTAAGGCTGAGCACGACTACGTTTACTGGGTGCAGGATGCATTGAATAAACGCGTTTGGAATGCAGGCTGCGTATCGGTAAGTCGACCTGCCATTGCCATCTGCTGCCTTCTATCTAACATGTTGCCCGCAGTGGTATCTCAATAACAAGAAATGGAACTCCATGTCCTACCCTTGGACGCAGGGCCACTACTGGTGGAGAAGTCTCTTCCCCACATGGTCGGACTGGTATATCAAGGTTCGATCTCCTCCGTGATATTGCGTTGATACAGTACACTGACTGTAAGCAGAAAGTGGCGAAGCCATCCAACCGTTCATTGTCCAGTGTCTTGTTTCTGGCTCTTCTGTGCGTTGGGTTTCTAGGAATCACACAGTTGAATCATACTGGGGATATCTCTCTCCCGCATATCAGTAGCTACTTGACTACGGCGCTGTCCAACCTGACCAGCAGATAGATGTAATCAACGGTCAGCTCAGAGCAGTTATTTCGTTTGTTTCTATCTTACTAGGTCCACGAGCTATTTGATTGGCCTTACTCAGTTGTTTATAAACACACTGTATAGTATGCATTTTCGTTAGAAATCAACTATTACCCATATCAAACGATCCCCACTTAGCCAGTCTAGCTCTAGATAGGTTGAAGATTGGAAAGTAAAATGGGTAAATATGAATAGCACAGTCTCATACTCCAAAGACCAGTGCCGAGCAAGCTAATGAGAGTGGTAGGGACTATTTGGACACTGTTTCATCTAGTCTATTGTGTAAGCATTCGAAACAAGATACCTAGCTCTACAAGACAACTCCCTGGAAGTAATACGTGTATCGCAAAGTACTGCAGTTTGTGCAGCCATAAAACCATCTTATTATTTCTAAAATCTGATGTTGCGTTGAAACTGTGGCAATCATTCACGTTTATAAAAAGTGCAGGCAGACTCAATAGACGTGCCTTTCACAACCACAGCCCTGCGTGTCAAGAACTTGTCCTCACCAACTATTTCAACAGCCCAGATCTAATCGTTTATTTAGCCAGTATTTGACACAGCACAAGCGCCTAGAAGCTTACCTGCTCAGCCGTCCATCCAAAATGAACACTACGAACAAAATCGTGAATGAAAGCTTTCTCGACAATCGTCTGAGCGGTTTCACTTTCATGGTCCACGGCGATGGCTTCAGTCAAGCCATACAGAATGCCCGACCCAACATCCTTGGTCTGCAGCTCAATCAGGGGGCGGACTCCGTGTGAAGTCCTTTCTCCGGAAATGTAGTGACTGCGGATGTAAACAAGACCGAAGATCGTGTCGTTGTGCTCGAACTCGGTCCACGTTAATGGTCGCTTCTCCGGTGCCCCTTTCAGACCACTGGTCAGGGCAGCCTCAAAAGTAATCCATTCAGCTGCTTCCCCTGTCGAGCTATGTGTCTCTGAGCTCTGGGTGATTTTCAGTGTCATCTTCGACGCCTCAATGGCCTTCCTTGTTATCCACCCGATTCCTTGCTATTCTGCTTTAGCTTCATGACTCTAGATATTGGAAATGTGGACCTGTTTACCAGTTTTAGGACAGCGTCTAGGTTGGTTGATCGGGCCTTGTCCTGTTTCCGGGGTTGGATCAGCGGGGGGTTATTTGCGTAACATGGGATAAGCTTACCAACACCCAGTTGCCATTCAGATCAAAAGAAGCCATTCTATCCAACTTCTAGTGTTCAAATCTCCGGGATTAAATTTAGAATAGCGGCGAGTCACGGCTAGGTCGACGGTGCAGCCAAAGCAATGCCTCCACGACAGAGCAGGTAGATATATATTATGGTACCGGTATGTTCTTTGCACGTTCAGTTTCAGTTCGGAAGCTTCCAGTCAGCTACGGGTAATCCCTCATGATTCCGGTCCTGTTATGCTTGTACCCTCTGGTGCCCGGGTCCCTTCCGAACTCCGGAACAATGGCGAAATGGATGCATAAGCAGCGTGCGTCAGCGTGTAGCCGAGGTTCCAAGTGAATATCTGGCTGTTAACTGGTATATCAAGTGAACTTCACTGTTCCATCGTTACTACCGGTTCCCTTCACGCTTCTCTAAGATGACGAAAACCAGAGGAATCCTTCCTCATGAAGGCCTCTACATTGACCCAGTTATAGCTGCCCTACGAAAGACAATCCTTCACCCGCTTGTCGCGTTGATTTTCCTATACCTGGTGCACTGGGGAAGATTGAGCGTCGTTGCACCGTACGAGAAGCTCGTCCAAATCACCGCAGCGACCAGTGTGTTCCTGTGGCTAAACGATTGGTTGAGTGCCAAAAGCCGGAACAATTGGACTACAGATGATACGTGGAACTGGAGGAAAGAGATTGTCGTGGTGACCGGTGGTAGCGGCGGTATTGGCGCGGGAGTCGCTCAACGTCTTGCTGCTATGGGGGCACGTGTTGTTGTGGTGGACATCATTCCTTTGACTTATACACTTGGTATTTTATTTTTACTGACGAGAAAGCCTTCCTTTTGCCTGTATTTGCTAACTCTGAAAAGACAACGATCGCATCTCGTACCTCAAATGCGACTTGAGCGACGAGCAAGAAATCGCAGCTGTTTGCGAAAAGATCAGATCTCAAGTCGGCCATCCTACCGTTTTAGGTCAGTAAAAGCAGCCTCCTCACAAGCCTCTGACTAACCCTCGCAGTCAACAATGCTGGCCTGTCCCGTGGTCGGACGGTGGTCGAAGGCACATACGGCGACAACAGAATAACGCTGAAGACTAACTTACTAGCACCATTCCTGCTCTCAAGAGAATTCCTTCCAACTATGATCCAGCAAAATCATGGACACATTTTCAATGTTGCCTCGATGAGTGCTTATATCCCCCCGCCGGGACTTGCAGATTACGCGGCGTCGAAAGCTGGTTTGATTGCCTTCCACGAGGTATGCCTCAAGTATGCTGCTCAACTTCTTATACAGCCTCTAATCTCCTCTACTGTGCAGTGCCTTGCCCAAGAACTCCGACTCCAGAATGCGCCCAAAGTCCGCACCTCTCTCGCAGTGCTGAGCTTCGTAAAAACGCCCCTATTCAAGGGCGAGACAAACCAGTCGCGGTTCCTGATGCCTCTTTTACATGTGGACACCGTTGTGGACGCCATGGTGGATATGCTTGATAGTGGGCTAAGTACGAACATTTTTCTTCCGGGAATATTTGGCTATTTTGCAGGCTTGGTGGGTTCTTTACCTTTGATGTAGGACATCACATTAACGGGCTTTACAGAGAGGAGCGCCCGATTGGTTTCAAAATTTGGTCCGGAGTGGTACCAAATCGCTCAAAGTCGACTTCAAGGGGCGCCAGGAGATTAATCCAAAGACTGGAAGACTTGTTCAGTAGGCTTTTGTTCGTGATCCGCACATTCAGCTTCCCACAGCGCCATGAGTGTCGAGTACGTTTCGTGGGCGACTCCAAAGGATTGAGAATATACATCTCACCGGCTATGGTATGACGATGGCTGGATAGGTGATCGATCGTCCTATTATGGCTGGTCTAGCTAGCTAGAAATGAGTCGGCCTTGCTAACTCCCGATACTAGAGCTTTGCTTCAATAAATTTCATTCTATACAATCCGATGGAGATGGAGTGGCTAAATATATAAGAGTATTGACGATCATAGGAAAGGTGTAAGTAAACATAGAACTTGGTCCGACATAGTGGTGACAATAGACTACCACGCTATGGTGTTGAAACCTTTTGTGTTAATTCATACTCAAGTCGCATTGCCTCACCCAAAGCTTTCATAAATTCCTCCCCTTCGGTTTCCTTCAACGGAAGCAATGGCTTTCGCGGAGAAATTCCATACCCATGCATGTTGTTCAATGCATACTCTACGTATATTAGCTTAGCGCCCATCAACATTCTTTAGGGATATACTCACTCATAGCCCGAATACCACCTGGAACCGCAGCAGCATCAGCTCGCGCAAGAATCCCTTGGATCTTTCTTGCTTCCTTGCGCTCAGTCTCCGTTGGGAATGGCAAATTCAGTAATGACCAGAGCCTCATAGAAGCCACTGGTACAAAGTTAGGGATACCGCTAACAGTGCCATGACCAGAACATTGCATCCAGGGGGTCAGGTCCGCAATAAGGCCGTCCAGCAAGAGGAATGGGTATTCTCGAGTCTCATTTATTGAAGTATCTTCAGAAATCAGGGCTTGAAGACGGATGAGCTTGCCCATGCTCCCACCGCATCTGCTATTATCAGCGCTGTATACATGGCGAGAGTTGCTGAGAAGGTTGATCTCACGTCAATTTCACTCCACATAAATTAGATGTTTTCTTCATAATTGCACAGATGACTTTTGAAGACATATCCTGGCCGCCAGCGTTGGAAGGAAAGTTGTATAGCAAGAGAGGAATCTGTAACTTCATGAGCAATAATATATATAGTGCGTTAACAAGCCATACTTACTGGTGATGCTTCGCAAATATCAACATAATATCGAATTACTTGGTCCATGTCGGTGGACAAACTTGCAGCATAGTAGGCAGGTAGAATAACCATGCCCGCATCTCTGTTATTGTTAGAAGGAAGCTAATCAGCCTCCGGAATTGAGCGGTAACTTACGCCCCGGCATCTGCAGCAGCTTTGGACAGGCTAATAGTTTCTCTGGTGCTGAGTCCTCCTACACCAGCGACCATTGGAGTAGATTGAAACCCTCCCTCATCCAATGTTGCCCTAATGAAGCGGATAAGGGAGACACGCTCATCGAAGTCCTAAGACCATTAGTACTATCATCTGAAGGCATGACAGAAAGAATCAAACTCACCAGATGAACAGCCTCCCCTAATGATCCAGCACATACTGGTACTGAACGAGTAGTGCCATCAGTATGTAGTTTCATACTATGCGTTGAAACAACTTACCCATGCCGCGGGTTACCATAGCTGTGTTTGATGTCAGATAAGCGCATTAACTGGTAAAATCCCAAATATGAGCTCTATCTATCCTACCTAGCAAATGTCTCCGATAGCTTTCATAGTCAATTTCTTGGTTGTCATCAAAAAAAGTTGGTAGTGGCACGTATACTCCTGGCCGGAGTGGCCGTGTAGTATATTCCATTGTAGGATCACAAGCAGTTGAATAGTCTTTACGAAGTCAATTTCCAGGATTTCCAGGATTTCAGATTGGTTAGAGATTCAATGTTCAACGACCTCTTTCGTACCTTTGAAGGACGTGAGCGTCGGGAGCGTCGGTCTCTTCCCGCTGATAAGACAGGCGCGGGAACTCCCCGTTCGACCCGCATGCCAAGGTTGTGATGAACTGTGGAAGAGCCTTATCGCGGAGATAAGTTGATTTAAGCTTCATGTGGCGTTTTTGGTAGATGGGTTGATAATTTGATAATCACATACCTATGGATGTATATATGATCGTTTAACCCCCTTTTAACGAAAGTAGTTCATTCATTACCAGCTACGTTGAACAATATGCAGGACGAGGTGAGATATATCTCCTTCGGCAGTAACATGTATGGTTTTGATATTAACGTACATCACAGAAAGCCAAAGAACTGGCTTATGATGCCAACGAGATTCGTGTCGGTATGGGAACTACCCAAGATATAGGTAGCAATCATGGCCTCCAGCGCGAGCTTAGGGTACGCCGAGCCACACACCCTTTAAACTGCTACTAGAGTAAACTAACGATCAATATAGCCACGGCATCTGTAAGTGTCAGAACACTTGGGCTTGATACAGGGGACTCACGATTTAATCTAGACAAATGATTGCCATCGGAGGTGTTATTGTCAGTTATCATCCTACTATCACCTGACGTTCGTGCTGATAAATTCTCAGGGTACTGGCCTCTTTTTAGGCACAGCGAGTGATCTTAAGAATGGTGGACCAGCTGGACTTCTTATTGGCTACTGTATCATGGCTTCGTTGCTGTACTCGGTAATGGTAAGGCAACTTCTGATTCTTTGATATCTCTAGAAATGGCTAATGGAAATTTGCAGGTTGCTCTCGGCGAGATGGTATCGCAATTTCCCATTCCTGGTGGTCAATTTGCTTTGGCTGGCCGGTTCAACTCACCCGAGCTTGGGTTTGCCATGGGTATCCTATTCTGGTATAAGTAAGTGACACTGTATTCTGAACTACGAGAAGCTGGACTTACGAATTCTTTAGTTATATTGGTGCGACTATTCTTGCTTATCCCGGGAAAATAGACGGTATCTAACTAACCTCTCTAGTTGTCCTACCGGCTGAAATTTCCGCTGCGGCTGTTCTCGTTACATTTTGGACCCCGGCAGGACAGACAGATTCTACGTGCTCTACTGGAATCTGTAATAATGCTATGTGGGTTGGCCTGATGCTTATCGTTGTGGTATGAATTGGTGCAAATGACTGTACTACAAATGATATTGACGAGCATCTAGTTTGCTATCAATTATGCGGGAACCCGAGTCTTTGGTGAAATGGAATTCTGGTTCTGTTCAATCAAGGTAAGATGAGAAGAGCGCAGTGTCAAAACTGGGGAGAAACTGACTTTTGATATAGGTTGTGACTATCATTGGCCTTATTATCACCGGTGTTATCATTAGTGCCGGCGGCGGTCCTAACCATGAGGCAATCGGATTCAAATATTGGAAGGAGACTGGTGGATTCATACAATATGAAGGAATTGGTAAGTCGATCAGTTCAACCCCCACTTACTGGTATCTAACATTCAATAAAGCCGGCTCAAAAGGACGTTTCCTCGGATTTTTCAGCGGTGAGACCAGATTCGAAATATAAGCTCGTACCGAATAACTCATCGGTTTATAGTTTTGATCAATGCTGCATTCGCATTCATTGGATCTGAGATTACAGCAATTGCAGCTGCGGAGACCGCGAATGTAAGAGTTTGTCAACCCAATCGCGAGTTCACTTCACTTACAACCTGTCACAGCCACGAAAGAATGTCCCACGCGCCATCAAGAGTGTTTGGATTAGGCTTGTACTCTGTGAGTTCAGATGATTTGTTTCTCAGACGTTAATGTACTAACCTCCCTTCCCTTCAATCCAGTCTATCTCTGCAGTGCTTTCTTGGTGAGTGCTCAAGATTCAATAGTGACTAGCAGTCTACTTACAATCACAGATCGGACTTCTCGTGTCTCCCTCGGATCCCTCTCTCAGTCTTGCTTCGACTGCAGCCAAGAGTCCCTTTGTCATCGCTATCCAAGTACTTTACCGTCAAGATATTGTCTTAAGATCAAGAAGCTAATATATACAAACAGAACTCTGGAATCTCGGTCCTCCCTTCCATTATTAATGCAGCCCTTCTCACCAGCGCATGGTCTGCCGGTACAGCCGATCTTTTTGTCTCATCAAGAACCCTATACGGACTAGCAGCCCGCGGACATGCCCCAAAGATCTTTCTCAAGACTCGAGCAGACGGCTTCCCTTGGGTTTGCTTTCTATTCTGTGGGGCTTTCTCTTTCCTCTCATTTATGGCCGCTGCCCACGGAGAAGCGGGCAAAGTGTTTGGCTATTGTGAGTAATATCTTGAGGAAGATTGCGTTAGACTATGGATCTAACGTTAATAAAGTCTCTAACATGACTGCGATGTGCGGTATGATCTCCTGGACAGGAATCTTGTGGACCAGCATCCGTTGGAACAAAGGTCTCAAGGCGCAGGGCATCGATCGAAAGACACTCCCATATATGGCACCTCTTCAACCATATCTATCATACTGTCAGTACACAAAATTTCCACTTCGCGTGGGAGATACTAATTTGTGCGACCTTGCAGATGGAATCTCAATTTGCATTATGGTCATCATCTTCGGCGGATTTGGTTCCTTTAGTGAGTTCCAAGATATGAAGCAACTCGGTCCTTTTACTGATCTCCATTAAAGTGCCTAGCTTTGACGCTTCCTCTTTTGTTACGACTTACTTTCCAATTCCGTTCTTTGCCGTCCTCTTTTTCGGATACAAATTTTGGAACAAGTCAAAGATGGTCGACTATGTTCACATGGACTTTGTCACCGGCTCTTCGAGTGAGGTTATTGAGAAGGTTAGTCTCATGTTACCTCAAATGTTTCATGTAATTAATAGTTTACCGTCTAGGAGAGCGCTCAGAGTCTGTGGCAGAAGATTTCCGATAGGATCTAAATGATACCTGTCTTGCGCCGACCATGTGTGATTGATAAGATAACCTTATTCTACTGCTGTGTATATTGACAAAGTGCTTCTTTTAATTTGAATTTATGTACTGTCTCTCGTGATGTTGGCCCCGTACGGAGTTGCTCCGAACTATACTAAAATAGACGAACCTTGGCACAACCTGTCTGTAGTTGTGGGGCGATAGGGGAATTTAGTAACGCGATATCGGGACATTGTCCGTAATCAATTGATAGCGATAGAATCCTCCAGGACTATATCTCAAACAACATTGTGGCGTCCTGTCGGACAGATAAGCGGCACCAGCCGATGGCAGTCGGCTCGAAAGCCGTGCGTGCCGCAGGTTGTGCCTTATTATGCCAATGTGACACCATTAATTTGAGAGAACTATTGAGAACATGGCGCCTAAATTTGATTTGGTTGTGATTAATGCGACAGTTGTGACTGCCAGCGACATCAGGTACTGTGCCTTTGATTCGATAGACAGCTCTGCGGTCGCTAACGAAATAAAAGCACATGTTGTATCGGGGTCAAAGATGGAAAAATTCAATCTCTTGCGAATTCATTCACAGACGATGAGTTGGTAGGAGCTGAGATCATAGATGCTGAGTACGTGCTCTGTGAATCTGAACCAAATACACAATTAACTTGAATACAGAGGCGCCTATGTAATGCCTGGGGGTGTCGATGCACACGTGCATCTATGTCAAGACCTAAAAACCGGTGGGTGAATCATCCATTGTTGATTAGCATTGAGTCTAATTCTCGCAGGACCACACGGCCTCGGCGGCGAATGCTCCGATAATTTTGAGACCGGGTCAAGAAGTGCTGTTGCCGGTGGAACCACTACGATTATCACCTTTGCCACTCAAACCAGAGCGGAAGAAGACCGGAGTCTCTTGGGGGTGGTTGAAAGGTATAATGCCCGTGCCGAGGAGACGGGCAGTTATGTAGACTACGGATTCCACGTCATTATTGTTCGCAATGATGCAGATATTCTTGAGAACGAGCTGCCAGTTTTGATCAACGACTGGGGGATCAGTAGCTGCAAGTTGTTTTTGACGTATGCCACGCAGCGTTTGACTGACTCGCAAATGTTGGACGTTATGTTTGCGGCAAGGAAGAATTCTATCACGACAGTGAGTTTCTCTCAACATGATATATATAATGGGTAGCGGTTAATGTTGCGTTAGATGATTCATGCCGAGAACGGGGATATGATTGAATGGTTAACAGGTAAGTTCATTGCTAGGGGATATAGAATAAAACTGACTCGGACACAGAGAAATTGGAGAGTAAGGGGATGGTTGGTAAGTACTTGTTGCAATTTCGTTGTTCGCTTGCTGACCTGTGCCAGCCCCTTACTATCACGCCTTGTCGCGTCCTCCGATTGTTGAGGGAGAAGCCACCAACAGAGCGATTGCATTAGCACAGCTCATCCAGAATCCGATTTTGTTTGTTCATGTTGGCTCAGTGGTACGTTCAGTCCTCATCAAAAAGGGATCTTTTACTAACACAGGTAGCTTGGTGCTGCCAATGTGCGTCGTGCCCAGACGATGGGACTGCCAGTCTATGCCGAGACATGTCCTCAATACTTCCATCTCACCTGGGATGACTTGGTAATTTGCCACGATCTAAAGCAAATAGAAAATCTCTAATTTCGATTATAGAAACGGTTCCATTCACCAACATGTTTCGAAAACAGCAAGATGATTTGCTCGCCACCTCCGCCACCTACTGCTGCTGACCATGAAGAGCTCTTTGTGTAAGATTGGCTGCACTGGGTACAAGATATCTTTCGCTGACATTTCAACAGAGGTCTGTCAAATGGGACATTCACAATTTACTCGTCTGATCATTGTCCTTTCCGGTACGACCACCCTCATGGAAAACCATCCGGTGTGTTGGAGCACGAAGCAAGTATGGAGGGCGAGGAATCATGCAGTGGAGAAGAGCTGCAAGATCTATTGGAACGGAAAGGGGGCGCATTCCGCTTCATTCCTAATGGGATCCCGGGCGTTGAAACGCGCCTGCCGTTACTCTATACGGGGGCATTGGCTACCGGCCGCATTACGCCGCAGCGATTTGTCGAGTTGACTTCGACAAACCCAGCCAAACTGGTAATTAGATGTCTACTCCTTCTCTACTTCCTTGGAATAATGCTGACATCTCGATAGTACGGCCTATATCCTAAGAAGGGAGCATTGATGCCCGGATCAGATGCCGACTTTGTGATAGTAAGATATGAATTCCGATATCAAAAGCTGCTACTCCATAGGATATTAACATGTTGGAATTCTAGTGGCACCCGGAGAAGACGTTCTCTCCATTCAATCTCACTAATTCTATGCTACATCACAACGTCGACTGTAAGTGCCACAATGCAGGATGTATTTTTCAATCACAGAAAGCTAACATGGTACCTCTAAAGATACCCCATATGAAGGGATGAATTTCACAAACTGGCCTCGATACACAATTCTTCGTGGTAAAATCATGTGGGCAAATGGCAAGATTACCGGCGAGGTGCGAGATGGAGAGTATGTAAAGCGTGGTCCAAGCCAACTGGGGCCATCATCCCCCAGAGCTGATCGCGATACCCGTCGTGTGGCCAATTGGCTGTATGAATAACGCCGTCTGTGTTTATAGAAGGTGTTCCGAGGAGTAGTCTCATCCCGAAACACCCGACTCACGGCAAGTGATTGAATAAACAGCTTGTCGCTATTAGTCGTGGACCACCATTGGGTCCCCTCTGAGCATATATACAGCTATCACTTTAGACCACAACTCCTTAGCTACCCATAGAAATATATAGTCTATATGACTAACCCACGAGGCATTCCACATTCCACACTGGACAAAAAAGTGGCAAGACTAAAGTTAGGTAAAAACAATGTGTATACTCGCTTCAAGTCTTCCGTTTAGAGACTCCCTATGTACCCAATAGACATTTCGAATTTCTTCAACCATGGTTAGAGCCTCAAATTAGACACCAGGTCCACAAGTTAGACTTTCATGGAAGTCTAAATACCATGGGTGTGGGCAGCGAATCAGCGTCCGAGATGTTATCAGAGCTAGTATCCCCAGATTGGCCCTTTTCTTTGATCTGACTCTTTAAGATGTGTCTTCTCTCATTTCCAGTAGCAAATAGCAATGTCCTTCAATACTAACTGGGCAGACAATCATACAGATAATGAGCGTCCCGCTAAGGCGCGTCGCATTGCCCGAGCTTGTCTACAGGTGAGTGCTGCACATCTAACACGTAAAGACAGTTATTAACACAGGCATACAAGTGTCACGCGCGGAAACAGCGATGTTTACCATCCGAAGAATCCAATCTACAATTACCATGCAAGAGATGTCAAAGGCTAAACATCACTTGTTCATTCGAGACAGATAGAGCTCCAACATTGGATCTCGCTCAGAGTCCATCAGGCCTAGTGCAACTAGTGATTGAACTTCAAAATCGGTGAGAATGAAGATTACAACTCAGTCAAGAGCAGACGCTAAAACCAGACGCAGACTCAATCAACATGAAACACGAATATTTGAGCTTGAAAATCAGAAGGGTCCATTCGACGTCAATATAAAATCAAGACCCAGAGATATCCAGCCTGAGCATGAAGAGGTTCTTTCGAGAAATCAAAATAACATATATGATTCTCCCGAGTCAAGTATCGACGGAATTCATCTGGGTCCGCCTATCGCAACACTCCGATCATTAAGGGTGCTTGCAGAAGAAACAGTTGATGAGTCGACTCTGAGAGCCCAGAGATACAAGTGCATATACGATCCTATCTATCAAGGACTTCTCACAGCCGAGGAGGTCCAGAGAGCAGTTGAAATGTATTCTACGACTCCATTGGAAAAGATCGTCACCTACTAAGATGCAGCAGATTTTTCGATCATTGCCATCCCTCAGCGCCTGTATTAGATGAAGGCATTCGGGATACATGGCAGGAATGTCCTCAAACAAGCCCAACACTCATTCTCGCAATATGCTCAGTTGGTACTCGGTTTTGGGATATAGGTGATCAAAGGTAGGGAGTGATAATCGCTAGACCCAGACGCCAGGCTAATAATACTGATTTCCAGTGACGGTTCTATTGTCGGTCATTCCCGGTTCCACGATCTTACAAAATTACTCGACAAAGCGGTCTCCAGACTCCTACTCCGGCCCACTCCATCAGATGTCACATTAGACTCTATATGTGTGCTTCTTCTCTATGCCCAGTGGATGCCATGCAGCAAAGAAGACGAAGATGAAAATACTGAACGCCAAAGTACCTACCGCGAGCCTGAGACCAAAAGTCGATACAACGAAATCAGCGCTTGGGTTGTCTTGGGATTGGCAGAGCGATACTCTGCTCTGCTAGGCCTCGAACAATCAGCCACATCACTTTTCAGACCCCCTAACAAGGTTCCATCTACAGAGGACATGAAAAAGCTACGAGTGTGGTATAATTTGCTGACATGCAACTTCAACCTCATGCTCACATCCGGTCTGCCTGCATCAATTGATCCTAGTCCGTCAGTACAGGTAGCGTGGAAATTTGTCTCTCATGAGCTGATGCAGTCCCCTGCGGATCTTCGAGTAAGGGGCCTTGTGGAACTTGTCGGAATAGTTCATGTTGCTATGTCTAGTTGTGGGGATATATCTGGCCGTCAATTGCAAGCGAGTTGCTTGGAACGGTTGAACAGTGATTTAGATGATTGGGAGAAGTAAGTGAATTTTCCTGGTTTCGCCTCTGACCTTACTGATGGCTTGCAGATCTTGGTTTTCTCGTTTAGGTGCGTTCATATGGCATCTTATCCTGTCAGTTATTGACAATCACCAGAGAACACGGAATCCCATTACGACCATTTGCCATTCACCTCGGCCCGGGTATGCAGTTACATATCTATACATGTCTAGGACCATAATCTAACCAGAGATTTAGTGGTATCGACTCTCCCTCAATTGTGCTTCACTCGCACCACTACTTTCATCCCCACGGATACATCGATCGACAGATTCAAGTAAACCACATTTCCGACAAGCGCTTTCAGTGAGCCTAACCGCAGCAGCGCAGATAATATTAGCACAATCGAGCTTCAAGTCAAATATTGTCTTCTCGCTTGATTCGCAGGAACCATCTAGCTTTCCCGGTGGGACATACAATGTGGATCATGCGTCCGTGAGCCGATTATACTATGCGGTGGACTCGACGTGGATTTCGCATACATTCGCCGTCATATTCTTATGTCTTTGCTATATCCGGGGCATCATAGATGGTGAGATATTTTATAGATACTTTGAAGTGATGATTTGAGTCCGTCAATCACTGACAGTATGAAAAACAGAAAGCCTGCAAATTTGCAGCGAAGATTCTAGTCAAGAGCAAGGGAAACTATGTACACGCCTTCCCTCTTCTTCATGCTCTGTTCTCTCTCGACTCCTCCGTCTTGCAATAAACATCTTCGACAGTGTGTCTCCGGCCACGAGATTCCATTTTGCGCACGACTTCCAAGCCATTGTTCACTATGCAGTTGCTTTGGTACTAGTCTCTGAAAAGGACGAGCAGCATATTGAGGAAACAGAGATTGATGATATGGCAATCCAGTCTCTACTGGATTTGATGAATGATTCCGGTGTTGACTGGGCGGGCAATCTGTTTGGAGAGTCGCTTGATTTCCCAGAGTTGAATATGGACGGGATGCTTTCATGATTGATAGGAAAATATCACAGCTTTGCAGAGTAATGTCTATATCAATATTCCAATGAATAATTAGTATTGATAGAAAGCCGTAGCCTATACAAAACAAACTTACCTATCAGCATCATCCAACTCAAACAAGATATCTTGAGCTCCCTCCCAAAGCACCAGCTCGCCCAGTGCCTTTAGGTTCTCATTTCCTTCAATGATAGTTAAGAAATGACTTGCCGCCAGCGGTCCCATCTTACTCGCAAAGGCAACGCCTCCATAACAGAACAGAATCTCGGTTTCGGAGATACCACCAGGATACAACAGAATCTGACCCGCAGCAGGGTGAGCCGTATGATTCTCGAACGGTAATCCAAAATCAGTCGCTCCTAATGGGATCCACATACCCTCCCCGCTCCAACGAACATGAATGAGCTTCTGGCGATATGGGAGGAGAGTGCGGAAGAGGGTCACTGTTTTGGGAGCTGATGATTCGAACTTCGCGCGGAACTGGTATGGACCGGCTGTTATTCGAATGGAGGTCATTGTGGTGATATGAGAAGAAGTAAAATGATTAACCTTTTCAGAGGTAGGAAATGCTATTTGAGTGACTGCAGCTCAAGAATCGGCATCTTCGGGGTCGGCCCGCGCGGGCTTGAAGCCGCGTGCGGGTTGATCGGGAGATATCAAAAGCGAAGAGTGCCTCGCGAAGTCAGAGATCATGCAGCTCACTTCACATTAAATGTCTGATCATACGCATATCTTGGTGTACGATAACACATGTCCTTCTAGGACAGGTATTCGACAAACCATCGAATCAGGCTCATTGTCCATCCGCCCAATACTCCACTCGGAAGATTCATCTTTTGGCGCAGAAGTATACGGCGTTGACTGGAGCCAGCCTATTTCAGCTGACGTTGTCACGCAAGTGAGTTAACAGTACAGACGATACATGAAACCGCTGACAAGATGCTAGTTGATCGCATTGCAAGACAAGTACGCAGTACTGATCTTCCGCAAGACGGAGCTAGACAATAGTCGACACATTGCATTCTCGCAGCAACTGGGTGACAAGCTAGAAATCAATCCGTTCTTTTACGGACGAGAAAATGACCGACTGCGTGAGCCATTACTATTCGACGTTGCCAAGTGAGTGTTCCACGATCAATCTCGAAGACATGTCACGTTCTAATGAGAGTAGCATCGAGCTGGATGGTTCTCTGGTGAAAATGGACAGTCGCAGGTACCACCATAGTCTGGGAAATGCCTTATGGCACACCGTAAGCATCATCTTTCCAAGCGAGACAAATAGGTACTGACCAGTTTAGGACTCCACATATCACCAACAGCGATCCAAGTATTCCATACTGCTTTCTCATGGAAATCCAGTCGAGGGCGGATCGTGGACCCATTTTGCAGACACACGTCGTGCATACAGTGACCTATCTCAAGCGAAAAAAGACGAGATTGAGAACCTCGTTGTTGAGCACGAGTACGCCATCTGTTTCGAAATCTCGCCGTGTTTGAAGCTAACTTCATCTAGTCTCTGGCATTCCCGAAAGCTCGCGGCACCAGCTGTATTTGGAAATCCTCTTCCTCACGAACTGGCAGCCAAGCCACCGGCCTATCACCGTCTCGTGCAAACAGCGCCAGACGGACGGAAAACATTGTACCTGGCGGCGCATGCCAAGCGGATCGTCGGCAAAGGCACCGAAGAGAGCCAGCGGCTGATTTGGGAGTTGATCGAACACTGTACACAGTCAAAGGTGAGTTGAAGTCAGCCGTGTTCAAAACATCCAAGACTAACCGGAGCAGTATGTCTTCAGCATGGAATGGTTGTCTGGCGGCGATATGGTCTGGTGGGATAACCGGTAAGTCTCAAGCGTCTTGCATTGATGCCGTTGCTGATTTTTTATAGCCAATCGATGCATCGTGCCAATCCGTATACCGCGACGATGACTGCGAGGGATGTTCGTCGTTCTACGATCCTTGATGATGGACCTTGGGCACTGGGCGTCTCAACAACAGGACTGGATTAGAACCAGTCGATACTACCACAGCTCCCATAAACCTGTGCTGTGAACTATGTAGAATGATGTAGGTAAACTGAAAGAGTCAGTCGTAGTTAATACATGATCAAGTATCTTGCTCTACTTGTCAACTTTGACGGAAATGTACAAAGATTTATATTTTGATCGAAGTAGACTAAACACATGAATTTGTTGTTTTATTTGTTTTTATGTCCATCTAGTGGCTGTTCTCTATATAATGCCAAGAGGCTAGGTTGTAGAAAGACAAGAAACCAAAAACCACAACTTCCTGCACATGTTCTATCAAGTCTGAATCCAAGGTGGGAAAGGATAGTGGAAGAGGGTATCGGGGCAAGGGGATCGGGGTCAGGTGAAATGGCCGTTTCACATGGTTGCTTTTGGGAAACACTTTCGCTATCAAACATTCAACCACGCAAAATTTACTTTTGCTTTTGATCGCGCATGTTGCGGAAGAAATCCATGACACCAGTGTAGACAACAAGCAAGATACCACCACCGGGACCGAGACGGAGGACCTTGGGCGTGAAGCCCTTGTAAAGGGCAGCGAAACCCTCCTCCTTCATCACGGTACCGAGAGCAGGCCATGCCCAGTTGTACTTGGCGACCTGACCGGGGACCTTGGAGGTGTTCTGGATGCGGGACTTGACAACGTCCATGGGGGTGTTGAGGAGAGTACCGGTGATACCACCGACGGTACCGGCGATCAAGTCGTTGCGGGTCTGCTGGTTCTTGTTGCCGGGCTCGACAGCGGGCAGCTGTGCGCGGACCTGGAAGATACAGCCGAAGTAACCTGCGTTCCACAGGACGTGACGCCACATGGTTGACTCAAGGCCGTTGTACATAGCCAAAGGACCTTCAGCGGCCACAATCTTCTTCACCACATCGAACATGCCGTTGTACTTGTGGGCCTGGGCCTTGTCTTGCAGACGGATCTTCACCAGCTCGAAAGGAACAACCACAATGGCTTCAGTGGCTCCGGCTGTGGCTCCGGTCAAAGTGGCCAGGCCTTGGGTCTGCTTATCAATGCCGAACAGGTTGCGGTAGAAACTGCCCCAGCTGTCGTTGGCGGCGAACTTGGTCGCACGCTTAGGTGCCTCCATCAGGATGGGGGCGGAGATACCACGGTATAGACGGGAAGCACTGCATGCGTTGTCGCGTGTTAGAGAGAGAGCCGTGGCTGCTTCGCTGGGGTGATCACATACCCCTCGTTCTTAACGATCTTACGGAAGCAGTCGAACATGCCATTGTAGTGATCAACACCAGGGACTGGGGGTCCGGTCTGAAGTTGACTGCAGGATATTGTTAGCTCAGGTTATATGAGGTCGGTGTTTGTTGCGACCGGCGGGTTGCTTACATTCGAGTCTTGAGCACGTCCAAAGGGTACCTGCGAGTCATATATCGTCAACTGGATCCAATTTGTACATCATACCAAGTATATCTCCAACAGAAGCAATTATGCGACCAAGATTTGGGAGTGGGGAGCCGTACATGATCAGGATCTGCGTGCGGGGAGGGACATGTTAGTCAATAAAGCACCTCGTGAGGGTTTCCGACACGAATCAAGTCGGAATCGCTTTCCAAAAGAGAGACATACCTCGGAGACACCAGCCACCGCACCGGCGGCGAACTGGTAGATGAAGGGGAGAGGTGCCTGGGGAGTTTCGGACATGATGGCGGCTTAAGCTGTGGGATGTCAGTATGGGGCCATCATTGGGCGACATTGGGATCGCAAAGTCATTGCAAAGCAGAACTTTGTGTGACCAGATCACAGAATCTTTACTCACAGGACGTTAAAAGAAGGGTTGGAGAAAAGAAGAAGTGCGAAGAGAGGAGGTTGCCGGTGTCGGCGAGATTCGGTGATCAGCTCCGAGTGCAGCAGCCGGTAAGTTCATTTAGCCCCCGTCAATTGCCGATTACTAAACCCCCGTGGGGAGAGCTATAAAATTTACATTCCGTGTTGTTTTCGGATTTCAGGTTTATTTTCTCATTTCATGTTTATCGTGTCTTCTGTTTTCATAATATCCAAACTCCCACACTCAGTCCCAGCATCATCCCCAACATCGTTTTGCTAACCCGATGCATCACGCCATCTGCGCTGGGCGCGGTGGCTTGTTCCTTGGCGACAGTCGTCCCAACCGCCGTGTCCCTCGCAGTACAGCTAGCACCACAGGCGAAGCCCATGGGACAACATCCTCCGCCCACAGTGTCTGCACAGTGGAACCAGCCCTGTGCGCACCTGTTTCCACCAGAGTGTTCCGTCGTTGTCGCGACAGGCGCTACGATCGTCACGCCGTTCGATGTAATGGTCGTCGAAGGTGTGACCGGACACGAAGTCGTATCGCAGTCTCGTCCAGTGCGACAGCAGCCACCGTGGTAGACAGCGGAGCAGGCATAGAAACCAGTCGGACAGACATCTTCGCCATGGGTAGCACTGGTTACTGTTGAGAGGTTCGTAGGTCGTGCTGGCGGTGCCAGGATATCGTTTGTTGTGGTTTGGCTGCTATGGGAAGAGATCGTCGAGGAAGAGCAGGAACTGGAAGTGGAAGTGGATGTAGTATCCTCTGGTTTGGTTGAGTAGGTCACAGTAGACAACATCACAGTCGAATGAACAGTCACCGTAATAACAGTGATATATGCGCCTACTCGAACGATTAGTGAAAATGCCTTCTCAACCCCATAACGATCTGGAAATGAGAAAATAAAGAAAAGAAAACCACTCACATCCCCCTGGAACACAATCATACCCCGGAATACAACATCCACCCCCCAAAGCCGACGAGCAAGCTGTATACCCACTCTTACACAACCCAATCATCCCAGAGCACATCTTCCAACTAGGACAGCAGCCCACATCGCCGTGCCCCGTATCAGCGACGATCTCGCACGTCTCCCCGGCCCCACAGCAGCGATCGGATCGACCGATAGATGTACACGCCGATGTCCCAGTTGGGCACTTGAAGTCTCGTGATTCCA